CAGGAGAATCACTTGAGCCCAGGAGTTCAAGACCAGCCTGGGCAATACAGTAAGACCCCCATCTCTACAAAAATTTAAAAAGTATTGGCCAAGTGCAGTGGCTCACGCCTGAAATCCCAGCACTTTGGGAGGCTGAGATAGGCAGATCACCTGAGGTTTGAGACCAACCTGGCCAACCGTGGCCAACATGGTGAAACCCCATCTCTACTAAAAATACAAAAATTAGCTGGGTATGTGGACATATGCCTGTAATCTGAGCTACTCGGGTGGCTGAGACAGGAGAATTGCTTGAACTCAGGAGGCAAGAGTTGCAGTGAGCCAAGACAGCATCACTGCACTCCAGCCTGGGTGACAGATGGAGACAGTGTCTCAAAAAAAAAACAACAAAACAAAACAAAACAACAACAACAAAAAGACAAGAGAGAAGAACAAAGGACATCAAAACATCTGCCTAAGCCTGAAGGGTCCAGCTAGTCACCCAGACTCTTCCAGAACTGTTAAGTTTGTTGAATATATTCATATTTATTTGAGGTGGCATGAGGCAGAGGGCATGGCAATGACATCCCTCACTGTGCCTGACTCTTGTGTCACACTGTCCTGTCCAAATGGGTTGCTTTTGCCACGTGGAGTGCAGTTATCCTGTCATCTCCCTCTGCCATCCTCCCAGAGACTCCTGCTGCTTCCTTCCTGCGTTGGGTCTCCATCCCATATAATCTTCTTTGTAATGGACTGCTCCTTTTTGTTGGACTGCATCCATGAGGGGCTTCTTGAGAAACAGTAGATGAGAGGTACAGGAAGAAATAAGAAGTTGAGACCTTGCCCTTGCATGCTTTATTCCATCCTCACACTGGATTGGTATTTTGTTTGGGTATAGGCTTGTTTGTTGGTTTTTGGTTGAAGATAATGTTCCTTCAAAATTTTGAAGTCATTATTTTAGTGTCTTCTATCTTCTAGTGCCAAGAAGCCTGATGCCATTCTATTTTCTGCTCTCTTTTGAAGTCCTGTTTCTTTTTCCAGAAACTTGTAGGAGCTCTTTGTGCTCAGTGTTCTTGATTATGAAAGTCATGAGTGGGTCTTCATTTTCATCCATTATCCTGGCACTTGCTGGGCCTTTTCTGCCTCAGAAAAAGTTTTTTGAATTGTTTTGTTATTGACTTCCTGTTCATTGTTTTACCTATTTTCTTTTTCTCAACCCTCTATTATTTGGGTGTGGACTCTTGAGCTGGTCCTCTCATTTTCTCGTAGTATCATGTTCTTATTTCATGGATACAACAGCTTTCATTTTCTGTCTGAGGATATTAATGGTATTTTAAAAAGTTCTCTTCACCCTCCATAATTTCTGTTTCTTTTAAGTTGCTTTTTTTGTTTGTTCTAGTCTTCCACTTTCTTACTAGAGGCTTTTCTTGGGCATCATATAATCTCTGGTTGTATGCTCATAGTTTAGAATAAGGAACTATTGGAAGCTTTGAGCTTCACTATGGTTTTCTAGCTAGGCCATTTGCTGGCGGAACTCCAGTGTTGGAATCTTCAGATCTTTCCCTCCGAGCTTCTCCCAAAGAAGTCTTTGAATATTGTGCCTGGAGAGAGTGAAGTCTGCCTGCTGGATTTCTCAGAGTCCAGCAAGGGAAGAGGGATGGGGAATCTCAGCATTCAGCATTTCGTATGTGTACAGTCCTTTAATCCCATTTTCAGAACAGTATCCACATTTTCAGAACAGTATCCACAATCTCACCTATGCCAAATGTCCTCTGCTTTATCCTCTCTGGAAACAAAGCTCCAGCCTTCTGCCTGGTAGTGGAGAGTGTTTCCCTGTGGGCAAATAATGGGAGAGGGGATCTAGGGATTTAATTATTTCCTAAACAGTTTTTTCCATACTCCTTAGCTCCTCGTTCCATAGAGACCTTGGCTGCTGCTTCCTGAGCCTTTTGAGGATTCTTTCCGGATAAATTGGTTGGTTCTCCACCTTCCCTCTCCTGGCTTAGATTTTCGCTTTCTAGGATTGTTAAGTTAATTATCTTTCATTCAGTTGCTTTCTGGATTCCACATTGTGTTGCTGTTATCTCTTCCCCTGTCATCTCTGACCTTGTGAGGTTTTGTCTTTAAAAGTCTTCAGCGTAGTTCTAGTCTGGTTTCGCGACGGAACGAAATTAACTGGGCTTGCTCAGTCCATCACCTTAATTCAGAAGTCCTTTGACACACTTTCTTCAGTTGGTTCTGTGACACTGTATTCTCCTGAGTGTTGTCTTACTCACTTGATGCTCTCAACTCAGGTGCCCTTGTGGGGTCCCCTTTCTCTTTCTGCCCTCTCTGTGGTGAAGGGTCACAGCTTCCTTCCGAGCTCCTCTTCTTTAGCTGAATTCACCCTTAATTGGCTTCATTCAGTCCTAGGCCCCAAATACCACCCACATGCTATGCTTCTCAAACTCATATTTCCAGCCTGACCTTCCTTCTGAATGTAGAATCGCTGACTCAGAGTCTTCCCTTGGGTGTCCAGTAAGCATTCCCCTCCCCCAAACCAGTTTATCCTCCAGTGTTCTCCTGAGTAGAAGGCACCACCGTGTACCGGTTACTCAAGCTAAAAACCTGATGTCATTCCTTGATTCTTCTCTTTCTCCCACATCCAATCCCTCAGAAAATCCTGGAAGCTCTATTTTAAAAATATAGCCCCAATCTGGCCACTTCTCACCACCTTAACCACTATTTTAGATGTTCCCTTAACCAGAGAAGCTTTCTGGGCCACCCTATATAAGGTGGTCCACCCCTTCTAGCACAGCACTCTCACGCTGTCTCTCTCTCTCTTTCTGTCTCTCAATCCAACACCACAGAACATATTCTATCTATTTTTTTGCCTTTTTATAGTTGTAACTCTCTTCTCCAACAGTGAAGACCTGGCCCCTCTTATTATCTGAGTGTTTCAGCTAAAAGGGATCTCAGAGGCTGAGGCCTCTGCATTCCAGAAAAGAAACTGAATAAAGAGTCAAGTGAGTAGCCAATTCAAGACGATGCTAAGTAATTTGTACAGAGCTTTTACATTTGAGAATTTTGTAATTCTGGGGATTAAATGTGCTGGGGATTAGAGGAGCAATAATGATATGCAACTATAACTTACTTTTATATGCTCCTTTATGTAATTTATCTGGGGAAATATTTGTAGGAACTAAAGTTGCCTGGTACTGGTAACTCTATATTAATACTTAATTTGCAGGAGGGGCATGGTGGCTTACGCTTGTAATTCCAGCACTTTGGGAGGCTGAGGCGGGTGGATCACTTGAGGTCAGGGGTTTGAAACCAGCCTGGCCAACATGGTGAAACTCTGTCTTTATTAAAAATACAAAAATTAGCCAGGCGTGGTAGCACACGCCTGTAATCCCAGCTACTTGGAGGCTGAGACAGGAGAATTGCTTGAACCTGGAAGGTAGAGTTTGCAGTGAGCTGAGATTGTACCACTGCACTTTAGCCTGGGCGACAGAGCAAGACTCTGTCTCAAAAAAACAGAACAAAACAAAACAAACACCCAAAAACCTAATTTATTGAATAATCAAGATATATTCCATTTTTCTGGACAAAATGTAGAGGCTACTTGGAAGGCTGAGGCGAGAGGATCCCTTAAGTCCAGAAGTCCAAAGTTCAGTGAGCTATGACAGCACCACTGCCTCCAGCCTGGGCAGCAGAGCTGTCTCTTAAAAAGAAGTAAAAAGTGGAGGCTAATGTCTCATCTTAGTTGCATTTTTCTAAGCCTTTTTTCTTGACAGGGACTTTTTCTAGTGTCTATGCCTATATGCCGCTCAAACAAGGAAAAGAGAATTTAGAGAGAAGCAACTTCAAGCCCAGGGACACAGCCCTGGTCCAGTAATGTCCCAACTAGCCTTCCTGGAAATGGCCTCTTCCTTTCCTTCATGTGATCCCACTCTCTGCTCAAATACCCCCCGATCTGCCTGAAAGGATTTCCTGAACTTCTGGCCTGTGACAACAGTGGCCTTGTAGCTTCTCTCAGAGGCTGGAAGTGACTTTTTGTGGTCCCCTTAACACAGTTACTCAAGAATTTCCTCCATGATTTACTTATTCGTTTTGGCTGAGGACCACAGCAACACTGTGGAATGTTTGATTTATCAAAACAGTAAGTCCAGCCAGTGGGTATAAATGCACTCTCTCTGTGGTTCATTTCTTACACTCCCTGCCTTGGTTTGTTGTTGTTGTTTTAAATGCTTCCAGGCGATGTGCCTCTTTCTAATTCACAAGAAGTACCTGCTGGGACTACTGGTTGCCCTGGTAATATAAGATGTGAGTCAGGGAAGAAGTACTGGGAGCAGTGGCTTGGAGTTTAGCTGCTGTGATGGAGAAGACAGTAGAAAGATGTAAGTGGGGTGCAGCTGGCTGCCATGGCAGCATGTGGAAAGAACCAGGGTGCCTCGGGTTATTAGATTATTATTAACATTTGTTACATGGTTTGCAATGTAAAGCTCTTCGCTATAATCAGTAAAGTCTTCATTATCTAAACAAACAAACAAACAACAGCAGTGCTGCTCTGAGAGACCATGTGCCCACACATGGAAGATGAGTCCTGCTTCAAGGCCATCGGTTTGGGGCAACTTGAGAAAATAAACAGCATCTTTTGTGCTGAATAGTAACTAACTTTACATCAACAAAAAATTCCTTGTAAAAATGGAGCTCAAGTTACTAGGCAGCCTCCCAGTAGTGTCACAGATGTTTGAGATAGGTGGTTATAAATACTTGTTGAAATCCCTGTAGGTTTTCATATCCTTACCTATAGAAGTAGATGTTTGCATTTTTGTTAACCTGTTGTCCCTAGAATTCAGCGGTGTGCTGGTCACATATTTTTACATTTTGGATTCACGGAATGACTGTTTGATGAGTAAGATGACTATGTGTCACCTAGGGTTTTTCACTACTAAAGCCTATCTTGGTTTATTTTTTCTTTTCTTGAGCTGAATTCCATGGCTACACTAAAGAATGTGTTTGTGCTGCTTTATTTTTATTAGGGTACCAGAACATCTCGTGAAGAGCATAACTTGGCAGACACTGCAAGCTGTAAATTTTTGCCATAAACACAATGTAAGTCTCATGATCTCTTTTGAAAAGTGAGAAGGCTCCCCTTAAGCTGAGGTGGAGCCTTGTACAAAGTTTATATCACACTTTTGTGGGTAAAATTTTTTACCCAAATCTTCATAAGCCTGATTGGGTAAGTAGAGGCTAAAAATGCCAACCTAGCTATTCCTTCTTGCTCAGGTTATACAAAATATGCATTTTTATGATTTTAAGAAACTAGTGCCAGGCATGGTGGCTCCTGCATGTAATCCCAGCACTTTGGGAGGCCAAGGTAGGCAGATCACTTGAGCCCAGGAGTTCGAGACCAACCTGGACAACATGGCAAAACCCTGTCTCTACAAAAAATAAAAAAAATTAACTGGGTGCGGTGGTGTGTGCCTGTGGTCCCAGTTACTCAGGAGGCTGAGGTGGGAGGATTGCTTGAGCTGGGGAGGTGGAGGCTGCAGTGAGTCAAGATCACACAACTGCACTCCAGCCTGGATGACAGAATGAGACCCTGTCTCAAAACACACACACACACACACACACACACACACACACACACACACACCCCAAAAAATTATTCATATATTTATACTGCTTAAAAACTACTCAGATTTAAGGTAGAACCCCATTCACTTGGAGTCTATGTGATCTTGTACTCCCAAAAGGCTGTGAAATTGGGGGAAACCCCAGGTGATTCATGCCTGCTTGGTTGCAGTATGCCAGTTGCAGTAGGTGGAACCCCAAACCCAGTGCAAAGTGCTAGTGCCTGCTTTGGTGAGATAAGAGTGTCGAGTCTGGAACCAAGCAACCCATTGAAAGCCTGTGACACTTCTGGCCACAGGTGGCTGGTAGAGGCATAGTAGACTATTGCCCAGGTGACGTGACTTCACAGAGGCTGGGAAGCCTGCTGCTCCATCCAATACAACACTGCTCACTGCCTGTGCATAGAAACCAGATTTCAAAGTTAGAGCTTCATTTTGACCATGAGTGCAATTTCACTACAATATTTTATCCTACTCAACTGCCAGGGTCAATTTAGGTGGTAGGGCTAAATCTCCTTCTTTATATTGTTCCAAATGATTTTTCCTGATGCTGCATTCTTGGAAGGAGGAAGTATGAGAGTAGACAGCACTTCTCCCTGAGGGGCCTCCAACTAGCTAAAGCTATAATCCTTGTCATACACAGGGGAGAGTGGACACCCATATTGTTAGTTACTGTGACTTAGCACTCTCTCGAGAGCAGGTTTTAGGATTGGGGAGCAAGAGAGACTGCACTAAGACCCTGGTAGGGCAGATCTGGGATGCTAAAAACAAATATAATACATACCACAGTTCCCTGGAGAGCCCCAGACGCCCTGTTTGGCTCCATGTGCTGATGGGGGTGGGTGCAGAAACTTGTAAAGAATTCCCAGAACAGAATAGGAGCACATACTTGCTTACAAGTACTTCTGACCATATGTCATCATGATATTCATGGTGTACCCATTTATAGCAATATGTGAAGCCACTGGTAAAAGAATAGAGATCTCAGGGATGTTAATTGCTAAGAACCAGATAGATTGTAATAAAATCCCAAAGTTGTTTTATTTCAACCCAAATTTTCCAGAATAATAAATACCTATGGGCAAACATTGACACTGATCTCTCATCCTGAAGGTCGTTTGGAGTGAGAACTGGTCATGTCCAAGAAGAACCCGAGTCCTCTCCAGGTTCTTAAGGATAACCCCAGGGTTTCAGGCTGCAGGCCAAAGAGGGTCTCTCAGGTTGCAGAACGATCTAGCATTCTCCTCCTGAGAGGAAAACACTTGGGAAAGAGGAAGATTATTAGGGACCCTGAGCAGTATTTTGACCCAACTTTAAAAAAAAAGAAAATGTAATTGTTAATTAGGTTGTTGATTTGTTCTTTACCAAAGAAATTGTCGTGTAATGAGAAAATCATGTGAAGATTCTCAAACGTTCTTCTCTCTAATATCACCCAGTTAAAGAATGTTGGCTGTGGGCTGGAAACCACAGGTGACTTGAGTCTAAATTCTGGAGGGGGGGCCATATCCTGAGGGGTGGCTGCAGCTCTCAGAGCACTTGTGTGTGGGACAGAGCTGACATCTAGCGACTCTCCCCAGAGGGTGAGGGCTGCTGCCTACTCTTGTTTATCTTGTTGGGATGAATGTCAGAGCTGGAAGGGAGATCTCTTGGCAAGCTGTGGTTGCCGCCCTTCGCTTCCAGCTTATCTCAGCAGGCTCAGGGCTTGTCCTGTTTATGAGGCCAACTGTATTCTGTTCACAGTTAAACAACTGAATTGTGAATTCTGCTTATGCACCAATGTGCAGCTCCTGCAACCGTGATGCAGCCTCACCCGACCTTTCAACATTTTCCCTTTCACCTAGTACTGTTAGTTGAAACACAGGACACCCAGTTACATTTGAATTTCAGATAAACAAGCATAACTTTTTAGCATAAGTACATCCCAAGTGCTTGATGGTATGTATTATACTAAAAATTATTTGTTTATCTGAAATTCAAATGTAACTGGGTGTCCTGTATTTTTCTTTGCTAAGACTGGCTACCCTACTTTCATTTTCCTTTCACCCTTCTTGGTTCTTTTGGGCCTTTTAGGAATTTGGGATGATTCAGGCTCTGACAGGCTTGGCTGCTCTTTTGCTGTTGTCCAATAGGCCAAGGAGAGATTTAGATGATTTATCCAATATTTGCTAAATAGTCAAGTGTTTCATTTATCTCATATATAGTTCAGCCTTAATATTGTTTTTGTTTTGATTTGTTACACTAGTGCATACATAGAGATGTGAAGCCAGAAAATATCCTCATCACAAAACATTCCGTGATTAAGCTTTGTGACTTTGGATTTGCTCGGCTTTTGAGTGAGTATTGACATTTTCTTTTGTTAAGTATAAAAGATGGAAAAGTTATTGATACAATAAAGGATTTAAATGCTCTAGAAGTATACAAGCCAGTACTTGTATATTTAGGGCATAAGCATGCCATAAATTATAATTTTGTAATTCCTGAAAACGTGTAGATACATACAGTGGTTTACATATGTATGCTATCCATAAATTATACCACAGTAAAGCGGTTATTAAAAAGTATCTTACCTCCCTGATTTTTACCATTTCTTGCTAAAATAATACTTTTCAGAAGTGCTACTTTAGAATAGTGGCTTTCAACCTTGGAGGCAGATTAGAATCACCTGGGGGAACTTTTTTTTTTTTTTTTTTTTTGAGACAGGGTCTCACTCTGTTGCCCAGGCTGGAGTACAGTGGCACAGTTCACAGCCCACCACAGCCTCGACCTCCCCAGTTCAGGTGATCCTCCCACCTCAGCCTCCTGAGTAGCTGGGACTACAGGCATGAGCCACCACACCTGGCTAAGTTTTGAATTTTTTTTGTAGAGACGGTTTCACCATGTTGCCCAGGCTGGTCTCAAACTCCTGGGCCCAAGCAATCCACCTACCTCGGCCTCCCAAAGTGCTGGGATTACAAGCGTGAGCTGCCATGCCCAGGGAACTTTAAATTCTACGCCCAGTAACACCCCCAGACCCTCCCCCATGGATTCTGTTTTAACTGGACTGAAGTGTGGCTTGAGCATCAGTAATTTAAAAATATATATAAGTGATTTGAATGTGCAGCTAGATTTGAGAACCAGCGATATAGAATAAGGCCACAAGATTGGGCGCAGGCTTGACTTCTGAGATCGCCCTCTCCCAGTTTTGATTCCAGCCTTCCGCTGCTCTTTGTTTTCCATGTTCCATCACTGGCCAGCTGGACCGAGTGACTACTATACAGACTACGTGGCTACCAGGTGGTACCGCTCCCCTGAGCTGCTGGTGGGGGACACGCAGTACGGCCCCCCAGTGGATGTTTGGGCAATTGGCTGTGTCTTTGCTGAGCTGCTGTCAGGAGTGCCTCTGTGGCCGGGAAAATCGGATGTGGATCAACTCTATCTGATTAGGAAGACCTTGGGTAAGTGGTGTTTTCGTCCTGCCTTTTGGAAAACTGGGTATTTCCCCAGGTTGGGGCAGGGCAGAGCCAAGTTCCCTGTCTCACCTAATGCCCTTTAAGGCATTAGTTAGGAAAGAGGAAAACTCAAAGCCTCATTTAAATGACTTCATTAAAGGTGGCCATATTTGTTTTAATTAAAAATAGTTAACAATTATTGAGTACTTACTCATTGTCCAAAAAAACCCAAGATTCTTGAGCAGTTTGGATCAAGTTAAAATGTTAATGACAATAACAACAATAAAAACTCACATTTCTGTAAGGGCTTAGCAGTTTACAGAATGCTTTCATGGTTTACCTCATTTATGATGATTTGTGTCATTCATTTGAATGTCCTTAACCCCAGCCTGCCTGACTAGTTTGGATTATTCAGACTCTACGGAGGATGATTCCCAGCCTTCTAAGTGTCAGGAGGAAGGCTAGTGCTAATGTCACGCAGCCTGTCTTGCTTTCCCGCCCCAGTGCCCTTTCCTTTCTCTCTAACCTCGGAGGCGGAGGGGAAGGGCAGGGGAGGAGAAGGGAGGGAAGGTGAGAGAAAAAAAAAAAAACCATCAGTATTGATTGCCCTCTTCCAAAGTCAGGGAGTTTAGACATAAACTCCCCTGACTCCCCTGAGTATCCCAGTTTAAAGTAAACTTTTCCTCCTCTAAACTCTTGTAGCAACTGCCATCGCCATGCCTTCCCTTGTAATCTTATCTTCGCAAAGATACTGTAAACTTCCTGATGGTGAGATCATGTCTTATATTTCTACTTACCCTCCACCAGTGTCTGCACATTGTAGGCAATAAATGTTTGTCGATAGCTTGACTTTGTCGAGTGACATGGAAGGTGCTTTGTAGACCTTCCAGGGGCACTCAGCCTTTCTTGGCTGTGTTTCCTCTAGTGATTGTAGGACAGCCTTCCCATGTCACCCCTCTGGCACTGGAGGAAGAAGGTTATTAAGGTACAAGGAATTGTGCTCATGATGCAGCTCACTGAGATCTGAGGCAAGGCATTAGAGGGTGTGCTTTTTGGTTGCTCACCCAAAATGAGGTGAGGCAGCAGTTTTTGCATTTGAGTGCGAGGTAAATTTCTAGGATGCATCAGTAATTAGATAATTTGATACCCCGGAGTAGGAAACTCCCACAGTGCCCTGGGAAATGGGCCTGGTTGTGCCCCAGGAGAACACTTTGAGTATCTCTCTATATTCTCTGAACAAAATCCCTCTTCAAGTATAATATAGAATTTTACATAAAGGCGATTTTAGCTGATGTGACGGAAATGTGGGCAGGAGGAGCTTCCTAGAGTCCCCTGAAATATAGAAATACTCTTTTTGTTTCATGGTGTCACATTGTAAGTGCTTCTAAACAGTAGATGAAATGGCACTTCCAAGTGATCGCTAATTGGTGAAATAAGAAAAGATGGTCCCAAATGTGGAAATGTATTTCTTCTAGCTAGAAAATCCATGATTTCTTCCCTCCTTTCCTTCCCCTTCCCTGCCTCCCTCCCTCCCTTCCTTCCTACCTTCCTTTCTTCCCTCTCTTCCTTCTTCAAATATTTATTGAGTGCTTGCTGTATGTTAGACACTGTTATAAGTGCTAGGGCAATAACATTTTATCTTGACCTATCAGGATTCAGTTAATAGGATTTTGATTTGTGGTTGTTGCCCTTTTGCTGTTTTTTAAAAGGCATTATTTTATTTGTGTGTATGTGCGTCTGAGTTGTTTGGTTTGGGTTCCTTCAGTACACTGTAGGCTCTGAGAACAAGAACCTGAGAGCAAGAAGCTGTAGCCCTCAGTTTCTGTTGCTTGCCTCCTCTGTGCCTAACACAGTGTGCTGTCCACTGTAGGGATTGATACAGGTTGCTGTGGGTTGCCTGAATGGCTCTCCTTCTGATTGCCCGAGAACACTGCAGTGTCCATAGACATGGGCAAGACCAATACAGCATTGATGGAAGAAAACCATAGATCAGTGTTTGCTAACCAATTTCACTTACCTTTTTTTTTTTCTTGTCCAAAGGGGATCTCATTCCTAGGCACCAGCAAGTGTTTAGCACGAATCAGTACTTCAGTGGAGTGAAAATTCCAGACCCTGAAGATATGGTGAGTGACCCATTTTGGAGAGAGCTCTGTAGGCCAGGCTAGCTAGGCTTTGGTCGTTATTCACCTCCCTGAGCCCCATGGCTCACCCTGCATTGGAGGTCAGTCTAAGAGAGAAAAAGAAAATTGGAGCAAATTGGCTAGTGAGACTTTAGCCTCAATGCTAATTTAGAGGCTGTTGATAACAGAGTCCAGCCAGCCTGTTGCACAGGAATGCAGAGCTGCCTGCCAGAGCCACACCTGTCCTTTATCATTTTTTAGCAGTTGAACCTAGGTAGCTCAGAGCCAACCAACTTTTAGACCTAGACCTATCCAGATAAAATTAACTAGTTTTTCCCCAGCATTGTCCAAATTCCCTACTCTACTATGCCTATGGTCTCCAGACCATGGGAAAAATCATAATGAACTTACTTGGGTTGGGCAAAATGGTTCAGGCCTGTAATCCCGGCACTTTGTGGAGGCCGAGATGGGCAGATCACCTGAGGTCAGGAGTTCCAGACCAGCCTGGCCAACATGGTGAAACCCTGTCTCTACTAAAATTACAAAAATTAGCCGGGCATGGTGGTACATGCCTGTAATCCCAGCTACTCAGGAGGCTGAGGCAGAACTGCTTGAGCCCAGGAGATGGAGGTTGCAGTGAGCCGATACCACACCACTGTACTCCATCCTGGGTGACACAGCAAGACTCTGTCCAAAAAAAAAAAAAAAAAAAAAAAAACCCAACAACTTCCTTAGCCAGTCTTACTCTGGTGCTTGCCCTCTATGGCCAACCCAAATGGGGGAAGTCCATTTTTTAAGAACAGAAAAATTTGAAATGTGTATATCCCTAATCCACTTCCAAAAATTTATTCCTGTGAAACCATTATCCAAGAGCATAAAGATGTGGCATTATTTAATGGAAATTATTTCCTTCGGTATGCTATCAGTAGGGGATTAAGTATGGTACATCCTTACAATAGAAATACCTCATCAGGCCAGGTGTGCTCATGCCTGTAATCCCAGAATTTTGGGAGCCTGAGGCAGGTGGATCAGGGGCTCAAGACCAGCATGGGCAACACAGCAAAACTGTCTCTACTAAAAATACAAAAAGTTGGCCCAGCATGGTGGCATGCACCTGTAGTCTCAGTTACTCAGGAGGCTGAGGTGAGAGGATCACCTGAGCTCAGGAAGTTGAGGCTGCGGTGACCTGAGATTGCTCCACTCTAGCCTGGGTGACAGGAGTAAGACCCTGTCTCCAGAAAAAAAAAAAAAAGAAAAAAAGAAAAAAGAAAAAAGAAAAAAAAATACCATATAGAGTCAGGTGCAGTGTCCCACACCTATAGTTCTAGCAACCCAGGAGACAACTGAGTGAAAGATGCTTGAGTGCAGGAGGTCAAGACCAGCCTGGACAACATAGCAAGACCCTGTCTCTACAAAATATTTTAAAAACTAACTGGGGTTGGTGGCACATGCCTATAGCTCCAGCTACTTGGGAGGCTGAGGCAGGAGAATCACTTGAGCCCAGAAGTTTGAGGTTACCGTAAACTATGATCATGCCACTGCACTCCAACCTGGGTGACAGAGCAAAATTCTGTCTGTAAAAGTAAGTAATATCATGCAGTGAAAAAAAAAAAAAAAAAAAAAAAGACGGTTAGAAAACAGTGTAGGCTGGGCATGGTGGCTCATGCCTGTAATCCCAGCACTTTGGAAGGCCGAGACAGGTGGATCGCTTGAGCCCAGGAGTTCGAGACCAGCCTGGGCAACATGATGAAACCCCGTCTCTACTAAAAATACAAAAATTAGCCAGGCACGGTGGCACACATCTGTAGTCCCAGCTACTTGGGAGGCTGAGGTGGGAAGATGGCTTGACCTTGGGAGGTGGAGGTTGCAGTGAGCCGAGATCATGTCACTATACTCCAGCCTGGGCAACAGGGCCAGATTCTGTCTCAAAACAAAAACAAAAACAAAACAAACAAAAAAAACAGTATGTGTAATTTGACCAAGTTTTAATAAATATGTAATATGTACACAATGCATATATATATTTATTTACATATATAAATACACAATAATATGACATCATCTGGGAAATCACAAGCTCTTTTTTGACATTTGTGAAATAAATGGCTGCAAGGATATATATCAAAATACTAACAGCAGGTATCTCTTTTGGGTGGGATTTTGGGGTAACTTTATGATTTTTTATATTTTTGAATGTCTTCTAACGAGTCTGTATTGCAATCAAAAACATTTCAGAGCATAATTAAGGTTTGTGAAATCTTGAGTTTCCACTGTCTGAGGAAGGTATCTTAAAAATGAAACTAACTCTCCAGTTGCTCACTAAACCCTTCAGTTTCCAGATGTAAATTCTGTCTCTACCACTTGTGTTTTATTTGTTCCCTAACCTCTTGGCTTGTCCCACAGTGAAGGTTTCTGCATCTCCATTGCCTCTTCCTCCTGCAGCACTAGCATTCAAAGTGGGTCTTGCTGGGACGGAGGGGCAGGAATGACACCTGACATATGGGAGGTGACCCATCTGGCTTCCTTGTGGTCTGGACATTCCCAGTTCTGTACTAAATATCCTTAGTGATTTCCTGTTCTCTTGTCTGTTGGTGAAGCCTCAGAAGTAACCCAGGTTTCATAAATGTAGAAAGCTTCCCATGGTTTCCCAGAGATTGTCCTGCAGATTTCCTGTTGACAGAAACACAGGAAGAAGCAGTGCGGGGGCTGCACTGGTTGAACATCTGTGCCCCAGTCCCTCTGCCTGTCAGTAACCCTGACAGAGGGAGGCCTGCCTGCTTCTGGGGCTGGGAAACTAGCTCAGCCGGCAGGATGGGCTCCAGCGTATCACAGGCAACCAGTCAGCCTCATTCAGACATTGTTGCTGGGACAGCAGAGCTCGATGATATAGCAATGGCACGTCAATCCCCAGTGATGCTCAGATTCAACCGACAGAAAGAACAAGAGAATTTAAGCTATGGAGCATGAGTGGGAGTATGGAGGTGCAACAGGGAATACTGTCAAGGGCTAATACAAATCTACTTTAGAATTTTTTTTTCTCCTGTTGAACATAGGGAACTCTAAAACAGAGGCTCTTCTCTCCTACTCTTATCAATGTGTACAATCCAGAATTGGTTATTGGGAGCTGGTTCCTTGTCCAAAATAATACTGTACTGTGAAGGCTGGCCACGGCACCAGGACTGTGTTTGATTAGATGAGCCGAGCCTGGCCAGTCACTCCAGCCGGCAGCTCACACACTGCCACTTTTATACACACAATGCACTGCAGTCATTTATTTTGCTCAGCTTGGCTGGCTCTTATTTTCTCAGCCTTTCTGCTCAATTAGCCTTTGTCAGCGGTACCTCTCTTTAACTGGCCTGTTTGTCTGCCTGACATTCGGCATTCCTCCCATTTATAGTGTTATTCCTGATTGTCTCCAGCACATGACTGGAGCAAAATAGCCTTACATGGCCAAAAGGAGATTGATGAATGCCCCACAGGAGACTCTTTAAACAGTAGGCTGATAAGGGAAGCAGCAGGCTCTAGTGGGAGACGACGGTGTTTATACCAGAAAATCAAGAAGCATCTGTTCACCTGGGTAGGGGAAAAACATCTATTTTACAGCTCCCTTTATATAATTAGAGCTGCCTTTTTTTTTTTTTTTTTTTTTTTTTTTTAAGGCAGGGTCTTGCTCTGTCGCCCATGCTGGAGTGCTGTGGCACATTTATGGCTTACTGCAGCCTCAATCTCCCAAACTCATGCCATCCTCCCACCTCAGCCTCTCAAGTAGCTGGGACTACAGGAGCACACCACCACCCCTGGCTAGTTTGTTGGTACATTTTTTTTTTATAGAGACAGGGTTTCATGTTGCCCAGGCTGGTCTCAAATTCCTGGGCTCAAGCCGTCAGACTTGGCCTCCCTGAGTGGATTATAGGCATGAGCCACTGTACCCAGCCGGCTGCCTTTCTATAAACGCCACTATAAATGCCAAAAATTATTCTCAGGAAAGGCAAGTTATATAAATTGAGGCCAAAAAAAAAAAAAAAAGGAAAAAGCTGCTCAGAAAGTTTTTTGTTTTTCATTAGTATTTTTATTTATAATTTGCTAAGTGAAGGGAGTGGTTAGGAAGCAAATTTGAAAAAGCATTTTGGAGATGGGGAGAGAAAGCTTGTGAAAAAGGCAAAGGGAGATTGTTTTAGGCAGCAGGTGGAGTGGGCAAAGGGTGGAGGAGGTGAGGAAGGTGCCGGGAAAATGTTTCTATCGAAAGATTTAATTTGAGGTAACCTTAATTTGAATACATGCTGTAAATTAAAAATCTCTTTTCTTTTCAACAGGAACCACTTGAATTGAAATTCCCAAACATCTCTTATCCTGCTCTGGGGCTCCTAAAGGTAAAATCGTGGCTTCCAACAGACCAGGAAGCACACAGCAGTTGTCATCAATTGGGGAATCTGAATTATTTATGTCAATCCATGCAATGAAAAGTGTTCCTTTTAGAATTCTCCTGGCTGTCCGGTGGCTCACATCTGTAATCCTAGCACTTTGGGAGGCTGAGGCAGGCGGATCACTTGAGGTCAGGAGTTCAAAACCAGCCTGGTCATCATGGTGAAACCCCGTCTCTACCAAAAATAAAAAAAATTAGTTGGGCATGGTGGCACTCGCCTGTAATGTCAGCTACTCGGGAGGCTGAGGCAGGAGAATCGCTTGAGCCCGGGGAAGCAGAGGTTGCAGTGAGTCGAGACTGCACAACTGCACTCCAGCCTGGGCAACAGAGCAAGACTCTGTCTCAAAAAAAAAAAAACAAAAAAATTATCCTTGGAAAAGTATATTTTCAAGTTTTAAAATGGATCACATTCTATTAAGTGAAAACATTTGCAAGTATTTTTCACTTTAAACCTAACATTATATTTGAAGTCTAAATTTACACAAAACAGAAATTTCAGAGGGGTGGTGATAGTTTTACAAAGGGAACCTTTTCTTCAGAAAATGCTTAGCTGTAGGATCCTTTTAAATAGCTAACTCCCTGGTACATTTGAAGTACATTTAAAAACTTGATTTATATATATATATTTAGAAATATAGCTTTTATGTAAAATGAGTTATGGTATCAACTGTTTGCAAGTTACAGTCAATGTCCCACATGGTTTAAAAATTATTTATTTACTAATGTATTAAATAATGAGTTAATATAAATGATAACTGTTACCTGAAAGGGTCCCAATCCAGACCCCAAGAGAGGGTTCTTGGACCTCGCACAAGAAAGAATTCAGGGCGTGTCCACACAGCAAAGTGGAAGCAAATTTATTAACAAAGTAAAGGAATAAAAGAATGGCTACTCTATAGGCAGAGCAGTGCTATGTCCTGCTCAACTGAGTATACTTAGTTATTTCTTGATTATATGCTAAACAAGAGGTGGATTATTCATGAGTTTTCCAGGAGAGGGGCAGGGATTTTCTGGAACTGAGGGTTCCTCCCCTTTTTAGACTATTTAGGGTAACTTCTGGGCATTGCTATGGTATTGTCTGGTGACTGTCAATGGTGCTGGTGAGTGTCTTTTAGCATGCTAACACATTATAATTAGTGTATAATGAGCAGTGAGGACAACCAGACATCACTTTCATCGCCATCTTGGTTTTGGCCAGCTTCTTTACTGCATCCTGTTTTATCATCAGGGTCATTGTGACCTGTATTTTGTGCCGACCTGCTATCTCATCCTGTAAGAATGCCAAACCTCCTGGGAATGCAGCCCAGTAGGTCTCAGCCTTATTTTATCCAGCCCCTATTCAAGATGGAGTTGCTCTGGTTTCAACACCTCTGACATAACCAATACAAATTGAGTCAATTCTTTGGAGTATGTAGTTGTGAAATTTAATCTATCTAAGAATGAGCTCCATGGCCTACTCAGTGGCAACAAAAAGAGTTAACAATGATGTAATATAAAGGCATGTACATTATGCTTCTCCTTATATACATGCTCATATACACTTATAATGGATAAACTATTTCTGGAGGGATACACCAAAAAAAAAATAAAATAAAGAGTAGCTGATTTTAGAAGGGTGAATGGAACACCTAGAGTGGTGGAGACTTTGCTGTATGAATTGTATTTGTTATCATGTGTAAATATCATTTTTAACATAAAAACACTAGTTTTTACGAAGTACATGCAGGGGACCAAACTAGCTAAATGGATTACCCCATTTGGCCACTGAGGTAAACTCTAAATCTTACTCTCCCAGGGAAGAGTATCAATTGCCTCAAGAACAGAATAAGGTGGAGAAAATGATTTTTCATTACTACTTCTAGAAATTGTTTATTTAATATGTGAGTGCCCATTTAGGAATGACTGGAAGGAACTAAAATCATGACTGGTGTGTTTTTCTGGCTTTCCCCCCTTATTATTGCAACTGAAGAGTTTCATCTTTCAAAGAAGAAAAAAAAATGACATTAATAAGTTAATACAATTTTAAAGAAGTAAGAAGGAATTTTCTGTTCTTTTAGGGCTGTCTCCACATGGACCCTACTGAGAGACTGACATGTGAACAGCTGTTGCATCACCCATATTTTGAAAACATCAGAGAAATAGAGGATGTGGCAAAAGAACATGACAAACCAACAAGAAAGACCCTAAGAAAGAGCCGAAAGCACCACTGCTTTACAGAAACATCCAAGGTTGTAATTTCAAATGATCTCCTACCTGCCACCCGGTACACAGTGGTATGACTCCAGCTAGACTTGAGGATGGCAGTTGTGGCTTTCAGCTCCAGCATCCTCATTCCAGCACTAGGAGACAGGTCACAGGGTCTATCAGCCAGGGCCCCAGGGATATCTGTCTCCTGAAGTCCCCTCTCCCTGAATCCTAAAGGTGCTCTTGTCCTGCTGTCACATAGGGACCAGGGTTTCCGGCCTGCATGAGCACAGGTCTCAACAAGATACATGAGTATGAGTCCAGCTGAACACACTTCTTGTGCTTTGGAAAATGAAATCAGATTTTCCCAGGCAGTTCTGTGTCATCATGTACACCTTCAGTATTAACTAACACTCCAGGTTTATCCAAAAAAGGAGCGTTTTCCTCCCTGATCCTTTGTCATAGTTGGCTAGGGCAAATACAGTGATGAATGCTTTTGGTGATATCAGCTGAAAACATTTAACCAGAGACCAGCATCCAAACTGCACACTGGGAGTCTGTGAAGAATCCTGATTGGTATAAAATAGCCTCATATTAAGCATCTTGTGATAAGCCAAAAGCTGTAATAATTTAGAATGAACTGTTGTTGGAACCACAACTGATCTTGGGTAACCTCTGGATCTACCTAGGTACTCCTTAAGCTATACATTATCTTGCCTTTGTCTTTCCCTTTGCAGCTTCCACTGCCCAGCATGCTGAATGGTACCAGGGTGTTGTGTGTGAGGCTGGGAGGAGGGAAAAGGGTGAAGAGTCCATGAGGAACAAGTACAACATGAACTCCAGGGCCCTAATGTAGATCACAGTTACAAAATTAATAATGTTTTAATTTTATTCTCCATCATTTATGATCCAGGTGGCAAAACAGGCCAGAAACAGACTCCTCCACCCCCACCCCCGAATTATTCCTTATCTCAGCATTACTTTGTATTCAAGAGCAAAAGGTTTTGATGGAAATATTTCTACTTGAAAAAATAGGGAAACTCCACTATTTAGTGTATTGCTTTTTTTTTTGAGACCGAGTCTCACTCTGTCGCCCAGGCTAGAGCGCAGTGGTGTGATCTTGGCTCACCGCAACCTCTGCCTCCCGGGTTCAAGCGTTTCTCCTGCCTCAGCCTCCCCAGTATCTGGGATTACAGGCACGCGCCAGTATGCCCAACTAATTTCTATATTTTTAGTAGAGACGGGGTTTTGCCATGTTGGCAGGCTGGTCTCGACTCCTGACCTCAGGTGATCCATCCGCCTTGGCCTTCCAAAGTGCTGGGATTACAGGCATGAGCCACCACACCTGGCCTGGTGTACTGCTTTTAAATCCTGAAAGAATCAACTGATTTAAAAGTACTAAAAAGTCCTTTTCTGAGGAGAATGCCTGAAAAAATTTTTTCTAAAAAGTAAAAGTACTAAAAAGTTCCTTTTTAGGGATACCTAAGGACATATAGTGCAATACAAAAAATACAGGTGTGTTCTGACTTTCATTTGACATTGACAATAAATTCAAACATTTTCAGGAAGCAGTTTTGTCTTTTTTCTTTAGAGATGGGGGTCTTGTTATGTTGCTCAGGCTGGTCTCCCAGGCTCAAGGGATCCTCCCACCTCAGCCTCCCTCGTAGCTGGAACTACAAGTGTGCACTGTGCCATGCTTGATTTGCCTTTTTAACTAAGGAAAGAGAGTAAGTAGGCAAATTGCCTAGGTGCTCTGGTTATCAGTTTTCTCTGCCATAAGACAAGGCATTGGCTTAAATGATCCCTAAGATCTCAGCAAGCTCTCAACTCCTATAAATCTGTTTTTTCCCCAATAATGTTAACATGTAGATTCTCCCCTTTTCATATTCTTTAAATCTTCTTTAATGTGCACGTTTTCCTTTTTAATATAAAATAAACATTTAAAAGGAAAAGCAAAGACCAAATTGAAACATTTAATCCTCTCTCAAGTCCTGGATTCTGTGCCAAAAAAGTGTTTCTATACTAAAAAGCTTAATTACCTCTTTTGTGATATATTCTAAATAATGAAAACAAAAAATGCATGGCACAGTTTTGAACCTAATTCTGTGTTTTGCATTTTCAGTTGCAATACCTACCCCAGCTAACTGGCAGCAGCATCCTTCCAGCTTTGGACAATAAGAAGTACTACTGTAATACCAAGAAACTTAACTACCATTTTCCAGACATTTAAAGGAGCTAGGAGACATGATTTTTTAAAAAGGAATCAATAGATACTTTGAAGAAAATAAAACTTATACAGTTGATCAAAAACAATTACAATGTTGAAAACACACCAGGAGAAAACATAAGCAAGAAACTGGGAGGCCAATTGGCAAGATATGAAGGGAAATTCCAGATCCAGTCTTCCATGCTTGATGATGGTGTCCAGAAAAGAAAGAAAAAACCTGTTTGGAGTTGCACTTGTATTTCAGTTCATGTAAGCAGCCGAGCTTATGGACTGAATATGAACTGTCCCATACCTCTGGCAAAATTAGATGATACCAAAAAGATTTATGCTTCAGTTGTACCACATGCCACACAAGAAAAATGGACTACAAAATGCCCATATATATTTCCTTGGATCTGTTGCCTTGAGTCCTATCTCCTGCCTCTCAGATTGTTTCAGCATCATATTTAAGGAAAGTTCTACTTCTTGAAATCAAAATGTTTAAAATCCCATTTCCTGCTTGCTCTATTTCTTGATTTTTATATTTTAAAACATTTTGAGGGTAACAGGTTCGAAATATTTAAAAGCATACGAATTATCACAAAGACTTGGTAATTTATATATTTAATTATATGTTTATACATTTCATCCTTACTTTATCAGTAAAGGATGCACCTTAGTCACTTTTGCAGGCAAGATGAATTTACTGTAATCTGTCTACATTTATTCACCCAATTCCCCTTGCAAACCATGGCATGAAGCCTGGCAGCTGATTAAGGCAGTCAAAGGGTAGAGCAAGATCTACAGGCTTTGCAGGAACTGAACCTGTCAGCCTGAAAATAATTAGTACATCATTCTCTCTGGCACAGCCTTTGACCTGGTACATCTATAGGCAAACCTGTAAGTGATCTGGGTTTCAGAAGAAATTGCTTGTGAGCTTTTCCTTGAGCCATGAAAGACATTATGTTGTAAACTGATGTTTTCCCTGAAACATCTTTTTGCACTGTTTGTATGTTTTGTATGTTTATGTATGTATATGTATATGTGTGTGTGTGTGTGTGTGTGTGTATATGCTATTCTAACAACTAATGTATTACACTAAGTAGTCCAAAGTATTATTGAGGACTCATAGCCTTGCACAGTGAGACTTAAAATGATGACATATATATATGTCGATCCTCCCACCTCAGCCTCCCAAGTAGCTGGGACTACAGGCATGTGCCACTATACCTGGCTAATTTTTTTTGTATTTTTTGGTAGACGCAGGGTTTTGCCATGTTCCCCAGGCTGGTCTTGAACTCCTGGGCTCACATGATCTGAGCGCCTCGGCCTTCCAAAGTGCTGGCATTACAGGCATGAGCCACTGCGCCTGGCCAAAATGACATAATTAGCTTTGATTTGGTCTACTGCTCTTAATCAAAAAGCTTTTTCATCCTTGTTCCCCCGACACAAGGGCAATATGAAGCCTGACGTCTGTTTCTTACAGCTCAACACCATTTCTGGTTGATGTGCTGCCACTATTCCTAGCACTTCTCAGCCATGGTCTTCGAAGTTGAATTTCACTCTATTTTCAAAACAATTCTGTACTCTCATTTTCTTCCCATTAATTTTCTTCACGATGACATCTGACCCCATTTACTTAAGTAATCCACTGAGGTCTGGTGTGTGTTCAATAATTTTGACTCTAGGCAGTTTAATGATATCCTAAGGCTTCCTAATGTATGTCATTTCTTGCCTAGACCTGATATGGGTTAAATGCTAGTCCCTGAATTATTCAATTCCTGTTAGACAGCCTTGATTCAAATGACAAGGAAGAACATCCAGCTTCCATGAATAGTTAAAATTTCTTTTTTCCTTAACCCAAGAAAATGCACTTGACGGAGGCAGATTACTATAACTGCCTAATAATTCAGCAAATAGTTTTACCAAAAACCATTCAGAATAGAAAAGTAGTTCTCGACTAAATCATGGTGAATCAGTTGTCTCACCATACAGTAATGAAACAAACCTGAGAAAAAAGGCTTATTTTTCTCTAATGAGTTCCATTACATTTATGCTTATGTTCAATTTAACCATATTTATAATCCTTTTATTCAGCATGAAATCTCCACTGTATCACATGACACTCTTCCACATCCTTTTATTTACTATTTTCTGATTTTTAAAATGACAGCGGCAATTACCATTTATACTATGTGCTATTTGTATAAGCTGGTTTTTAAACACAACGAAAATTCATTTTTCTACCTGAAAACTGTATCATAGAAAGTGTTTATTTGAAAATTATTTTCAAGTTTATATTCAACAGCTCAATAATGTTCAAACCAGGCTGGGCACGGTGGCTCACGCTTATAATCCCAGCACTTTGAGAGGCTGAGGCGGGTGGATCCTGAGGTTAGGAGTTCAAGACCAGTCTGGCCAAGATGGTGAAACCCTGTCTCTACTAAAAATACAAAAATTAGCTGGTGTGGTGGCGGGTGCCTGTAATCCCAGCTACCTGGGAGGCTAAGGAAGATAATTGCTTGAACCTGGGAGGCAGAGGTTGCAGTGAGCCGAGATCACACCACTGCACTCCAGCCTGGGCAATAGAGTGAGAGTCTGTCTCAAAAAAAAAAAAAGTTCAAATCAAACACACAGAAATCTATAAACAAACTGGCATATAACAGTAATAGAATCAGGGCCATTTCACACAGGTAACAATAAAGACCTGTTTTATCTATTTTTGACTTTTTTTTTTTTTGAGATAGGGTTTTAATCTGTTGCCCAGGCTGGAGTGCTGGAGTGCAGTGGTGCCAACATGGCTCACTGCAGCCTTCACTTCCCAGGCTCAAATGATCCTCCTACCTCAGACTCCTGAGTAGTTGAGACTACAGGAATGTGCCACTATACCCGGCTATTTATTTTTTAATTTTTTGGTAGAGACAGGGTTTTGCCACGTTGCCCAGGCTCGTCCTGAACTCCTGGACTCAAATGATCTGCCTGTCTTGGCCTTCAAAAGTGCTGGGATTACAGGCCAGCCCTTTTTTTTTTTTTTTTTTTTTTTTAAGAGACAGGGTCTCTGTCTTTCACCCAGGCTACCACGCTGGTGTTCAGTGGCGGTGATCATAGCTTACTGCAGCCTCAAACTCCTGAGCTCAAGCGATCCTACCACCTCAACCTCCCAAGTATCTGAGAGTACAGGTGTACACCACCACGCCTGGCTAATTTTTAAAATTTTTTATAGAGATGGGGTCTCTCTGTGTTGCCCAAATTGGTCTCAAACTCCTGGTCTCAAGTGATCCTCCCACCTCAGCCTCCCAAAGCACTGGGATTACAGGCATGAGCCACGGCACCCAGCCTAAAGCAGTTTTAAGTTTTAAGAGAAACCTAAGCATAGCCTACTGGTTTTTATTATTGTTTCCTTTTATTATATTGCAATCTGCAAAACTATTTGTATTCAGCCAAGTATCTGTCCAGTTTTAATAAAATAGTAGCCTAAGCTTACAAAATAGACAAATTAAGCAGCAACTGTTGATTCTGAGAAAGTCTGTATGCTATCAAGAACACAAGAATGCAGGATCATGGGAAATGCATGCAAATCCTGGGAAGCAATATGAAATGCATGCTTCAACCACCATTGACCACTATGCATAATTGACGCCATCAATGAATCTGTAATTTAGCTTCTAATTTTTCATAATTGTGCATTTATGGTAGTATGCTTCACTAACTTTAAAGTTAAATTTAATGTAAATTACTAATAAAAACATCTGTTGTACAAATAACTTTAAAGGATTCTAAATAAATATCTACATCAAGAGATATCTATAGATTTACATATTAAATGAATGTATTAAAATGTTACCTAGTTTGCATTTTTCTTTTTCTTCTTTTTTTTTTTTTTTGAGACAGAGTCTCGCTCTGTCGCCCAGGATGGAGTGCAGTGGCGCAATTGCGGGTCACTGCAACCTCCACCTGCCAAGTCAAGTAATTATCCTGCCTCAGCCTCCAGAGTAGCTGGGATTACAGGCGTGGACCACCACACCCAGCTAATTTTGTATTTTTAGTAAAGACGGGGTTTCACCATGTTGGCCATGGTTGGTCTCGAACTCCTGACCTCAGGTGATCTGCCCACTTTGGCCTCTCAAAGTGCTGGGATTATGGGCATGAGCCACCGCGCCCGGCTGCACTTTTCTTAAAATGAATTAATGTACATAAATTCTCACTTCCAACTTAGTAACATTAGTGAGTCACATCTGAATATTCATTTTCTAAATATGATGCACTCTCCACTTGTAAATGTCATGATATGGCATCCTTATAATTCTACTGATGACTATATAATATTAGTTGATGTTTAGAATCAACAGTTTCAAATGATCCTTTATACTGAAATAAGACACATTATTTTACTTCAATTGTAATTTTAGTTCCAGAGAGGGCAGTGCTGTCTCAAAGACTTGGATAAGATTTTCTTTTTCTCTTACTCCGGGAAGATCACTTAACAACAAATATTTGAGGTTTCTGCAAATAAAGAAAAAAGTCACTTCAATTTAGCCAAGAGCATTAAAAATAAACTCAATTTACTGGCTTAAAGAAAGAAAATTACATAGAAAATTAATCTATATCACCCTATGCTTTCAAAATGACTTTTAGAGCAGTAGCCTTAGAGATGAAATTCATGCCAGGAAGTAACACAGACCTTAGGTTATGTCAATATTTCTAGCTGAATCATTCTAAATAAAATATATATTTATAATGATGTAGATATCCTTTGCATGTGAAACATGAAATGTGAATCTCAACCCCAAAAGGGCAAAAACTGGGAAAATTCTTAAAGATACTCGAGTTTCTACTAAAAGATGAAGCTCTGAAGCCTCAAGTAATGTAAGAGATGGACAATCTACTACTTGTGGTCCTAATGTTTAAAATTTCTCAAACTTCCTGTGATACTGAGGTTACTGGTAGATCCATTTTATATTAAAGCAGAACTACACTAATTAGATTTATAATTTGAATGTTGGGATCTCTAACACAGAGATTTGATTAAACAAACTTCTATTCTTTTTTCATCACGCTGATAAGACTCAGAACCTTACAATTTTAGAGTTAAACATTCCTTGCTAGTATTATCTGTTTTTGCATTTGGAATTAGGTGAGTTGCTCCAGGCCATGGCATGGGTCTGGTTGGTGGCACAAGAGGATGTAGAAAAGCTTTCCTAACCAGTGAATGCGTGCTTTTGATGATTATTATAGTGTCAGGCAGTGTTCTAGGCTCTAAACACAGAAAGGTGAATACTTCAAGGTTTTTTCCCCTCAACCAACATAATTACAGGGTAAAATGCTAATAGGTATATACCAAATGTCCTGAAAATATCAAAAACATAGGGGAAATTGCTTTAAAAAAAAAAAGGAGAGAAAGCATAATCGTTGAAGCTTACTGAGGGCTTACTGTGACAGGCACCATGCTAGGTGCTTAATGTAGATTTAATTTTTAAAAACATATCCTATAAAAAATTCAATAAAATATTAATGTATTAAGATTGATCATTTTAGCTCTTTTAAAGTATTACAGATGGAAGTGAAGTCATTTTTTAAAATTATCTTTTTCAGAACTAAAAATAGACACCAGCCCTCACAGTCAGTTAAATTCTACCTATTCACCTTAACAGCATTATCAAGCTTCCACTTTGGCTTTGATCATCTACCTTAAATGACGCAAAGCAATGATGCCTTTGTCTGTGATATTCCCACAGGATATTATTTCCATTTCCAATATGCTTTTTTGTAAATTTTCAAGTTGACCAAGTCTCAGCAAACAGTCATCCTCGATATAATGACACTTGCACAGCCTTATTTTTTCAACATGCTGTAGGCCCACTGGGGAGAAAAAGTACAGATTAAGAATCTGCTTTACCACTAAGATAACAAACTGTCCTGGTTTGCCCAGGACTGACTTGGTTTTAGGATTGAAAGTCCTGTGTCCTGGGAAACCTCTGAATCCCATGAAAACTGGAATGATTGCTCACCCTATTAGCCATATAAGGAATTCACTACAGAGCTTGTGCTGATGGACGGGGCCATTCTACAGTCAGATGCCCACACAATGGAGGAAAGAAATGCCCACATAGGGCCAGGCCCGGTGGCTCATACCTGTAATCCCAGCACTTTGGGAGTCTGAGGCGGGTGAATCACCTGAGGTCACGAATTCAAGACCAGCCTGGCCAACATGGCAAAACCCCGTCTCTACTAAAAATAGAAAAATCGGCCTGGCGTGGTAGTGCACACCTGTAGTCCCAGCTACTTGGGAGGCTGAGGCAGGAAAATCACCTGAACCCAGGAGGTAGAGGTTGCAGTGAGCCAAGATCGCGCCACTGCACTCTAGCCTTGGCGACTAGCCTTGGTGACAGAGTGAGACTCTGTCTCAAAAAAAAAAAAAAAAAAAAAAGGAGGCCAGGTGCAGTGGCTCACACCTGTAGTCCCAGTACTTTGGGAGGCCAAGGCGGGCGGATCACGAGGTCAAGAGATGGAAACCATCCTGGCTAACATGGTGAAACCCCATTCTCTTCTAAAAATACAAAAACAAAATTAGCCGGGCATGGTGGCGGGCGCCTGTAGTCCCAGCTACTCAGGAGGCTGAGGTGGGAGAATGGCATGAACCTGGGAGGCGGAGCTTGCAGTGAGCCGAGATTGTGCCACTGCACTCCAGCCTGGCTGACAGAGCAAGACTCTATCTCAAAAAAAAAAAAAAAAAAGAAAGAAAGAAAAAAAATGCCCACGTAGGCAGAAGCTGTGTGGATATAATTATTCCTGCATTACTGAGGGCTTCTCAATGACAGAAGTTTGACAAAGATAGTTTGATAAACAAGGCCCTGAATTTTAAGTCAATAAACCAAAGACTAGAGACATATAGAAACAAGCTTAGTGAGAGGAGGAAGGAGAGGAAGGTGTCTGTAACCTCAATTTAATTTGAAAATAAATATCAAACCCAGGAAGAAATAAACTTGACTATACTGAAATGGGCAAAAAGGACATACCTATGACTATAATTGTGAGTCAACTGCAACAAAATGGTCACTGCAAAATCATCTGCATTTCCTATTAGCAAAATGACAGGGTAGTTACCCATGTGATCAAATCCAATGCTCATGATACAAGAGTTGGTGGCGTCAATCGCCTGAATCTTGTATTTGTCCAGAGGGCCTGTTGGAAGGTGGTTGTAATCCGTCTGCCACCTCTCCTGGCCATGGTAGCGCACCATGGCCCCACAGCGCAGCAACCACTCGGATGCTGCCCTGTCAGGGCCAACATCCCTGATGCGATCATAATCCACCCTGTTGGCAAGTGAAAAAAAACAGTTTGCTTTTACAATAATAACTAGCTTGTTAACTATATTAACTGACATAAATAATACAGAACGCAACAAATTTTCATTTCAAGTGACTGAGGAGGAAGATAAATGTATTAGTGAGATCCATGCAAAAACCAAAACCAAAAACAAAAAAAACCCTGTAGTCTATCTGCTTTTTTAGTTTAGTTTTTGTTTCCAAGTGAACACTGTCAATGCGTATTATTTTTATATGAATTTATCAGACACAACTTTTCATTGATTCACATATAGTAGAGTGCTTGATACCAGAGATATTTAGTAACTATTCTACGAATGACTATACTTGGTTAAAATTTGTATTAATAACAAAAGATTAAAGAGAAAATAATTCTGAATCTGTATTCAAATTAATCTCATTACGTGATATTTATTAACTTCTACATATGCTTTTTTCACAAGCTAGGGATCATAATGCTGTATTAAGTAATCAGAAGGAGGTTAGTTTCATCAGCTTCAAAATGCTATTTTTTTCTCTTTTTTTTTTAGATGGACTCTCATACTCTCACCCAGGTTGGAGTGCAGTGGCGCACTCTCGGCTCACTGCAAGCTCCACCTCCCGGGTTCACGTCACTCTCCTGCCTCAGGCTCCCGAGTAGCTGGGACTACAGGTGCCCACCACCACACCCGGCTAATTTTTTGTATTTTTAGTGGATACAGGGTTTCACAGTGTTAGCCAGGATGGTCTCGATCTCCTGACCTCGTGATCCGCCTGCCTCGGCCTCCCAAAGTGCTGGGATTACAGGCGTGAGCCACCGTGCCTTGCTCAAAATGTTATTTCTAAGTGTGCCACCCACTAATTTTGTGAAAACCTGAGTTACTTTGATAGAATTCAAAAGGTTAACTACATTCCTTTAAAAAGCCATAAAAGTAAAGTATTTTAAAATTATGTTTTTCTGATTATAAAATAAATGTTTATTTTAGAAAACTTGAAATGTATCAAAAGGACAGATAAGTAAGAAAAATCACTGAAATCCTGCAACCCAAACAGCCACAGTTAATATTTCGTAATCCATTTTTCTGGTGTTTTTTCCATGTTTGTGTGGGTTTTGTTTGTAAACAAAATTAGGATCACACTGCACAAATTGTTAAAATAATATTTGAAATACGAGAAATAGCCAAACGAGCTACTGGGAACTTATTTTGCCATAACCATTTCCACATTTCTTCACTTTATTTAGAGTCACTTACTTATTAAACACTGCATTCAACCAGCCCCAGAAGTATCTGGAATCACATGACCATGGGAGTTTCTTTATGCCACACAACTGCTGGGAAACTTTTCCAAACAGCATCATTTGATCTAGACACACAAAATAGTACTTACATTAGATCATCATCAGAGTCCCATACATATAGCAACTTACTTCACAACCTCAGAGTCAATGCTCTTGTACTGATAAAGCTGATGACTCACTTGCCACTCAACAATTATTGTGCAAGTCACTCCTGTTTCTTGTTCTTAGGGTTTTTTTATTTGTTTGCTGCAAAAAAAAAAATGAGGGGTTGGACTGGATGGTGTCTAAGGTTCCTTCCGGCTTGAACATTAAGTTCCACTGTTGAAACCTCAATTGGAGTCTGTCTGTCGTACTGCCATCTAGTGTCCATTCAGGCGCTGTAGCTATGAATTTGCTGAAGCTGGCTCTACTCCCCATCTATATTTCCAGTATCAAAATGACACACTAAAATCACCGAAAGAGCAACGTGTCGAGGTTGAGATGCTTGCATCCAGGAAAGAAGAGGAGACATGAAAATAGATCTACCTATGACAAGGCTGCAAGTGCTGTCACCAGAGCAGTGTAAACAAAAAAACTAAGAGCAGCTGGGAAAGACTGGGCAAATAACTTCACCTCTCTGACCTCTGGTTTTCTCATTTGTAAAATGAGATGATTTGCTTAGATAATTTCCAGCTGTGAAAATCTATAACCATAATTTGAGAACGTGATTCCTGGAGTAGGTTTCGATTTGATTTACCTTAATTCAAGTTTCCTTAGTAGTGTGCTAGGTGTGTGCAGGGGACTGGGTGCGGCGGGGAGTGGGGGGATGGGGAGACAAAGATAAATGAAACATGGTGTTTGCTTTGAGCATCTGACAGTGTAATGCAGGATGGAGTGGGCTAAGACATGTTACCATGTAGTTAAGAGTGACAGAACTTGATAAATGCCTGAAAATAGTTAAAATAAGGAAAGAAAGGATTTCAACAAACAAAGGTGCCAGGAAAAATTATGCAAGATTAGCTGAAGCAGGAACATTTAAGGCATGTTATTTTCAGTTTCACTAGCACATGTGAGTCATGAGAAGAGGCAGGCAACTTGCAGTCAGGTCATGAAGGGTTTTGCATGCTCAGCCAGGGAATTTGGACTGTATTCTGTAGGCAGCGGAGAGTCACCAAGGTTTTTGAACAAAGCACTGGCCTTTGGGAGGCTGAGGCAGGCTGATCACGAGGCCAGGATATCGAGACCATCCTGGCTAACACGGTGAAACCCTGTGTCTACTAAAATCCAAAAAAAAAAAAAAAATTAGCCGGGCACGGTGGCATGCACCTGTAGTCCCAGCTACTCGGAGGTTGAGGCAGGAGAATCGCTTGAACCCGGGAGGTGGAGGTTGCAGTGAGCTGAGACTGCACCACACCGCACTCCAGTTTGGGCAACAGAGCGAGACTCCGTCTCAAAAATAAATAAATAAATAAATAAATAAATAAATAAATAGAACAAAGCATTGGCATTGTTACAGTTGTGCTTCAAGAAATTTACTCAGACAGCAGCATCAAGATGAACGGTCAACAGAATGGGACAGCCAGCCAGCAAGGGCTTCAATCACATGAGGCCATAGGAAAGGGCCTAGTTGGGGAAGGATGGGAATGACATTACAGAGTTGGTTCCGTATGACTTAGTTAAGAGAGATGTAGGGGCATGGGCTGCAGGAGTTGAAAATGACACCAGGTTTTGGCCCTGAGTCACTAGTAGTAGGATGGTGATGCCATTAAAAGAAATCACATCAGGAGGACAGGGTTATAGGTTCAGATTTTTTTCTTCTAGTTTTTCATAATCTACATATTAAGTGTTAGCAGGATTTCTAAGTGCAGATGACGAAAAATCATTGGAATCAGAGGTCACAAAATGTTAGCGCTATAAGGAATTTAGATCACCTGGATGAAATCTCTCATTGAGAGGTGAGGAAACTGAAGCCCTGATGTTAAGTAACTTCCTGACACCCTAAATCCTTTCTTGAACAAGGTGGGGTATTAATAAATGCTGTGTTTAAAGGGACTTGCTCAATGTTTCATGACTAATTGGTGGTAGTGTTGAAACTTGAACCCAGTTCTCTCCCAGCCCAGGGTCCTTTCCTCAATCATTACAAGGTGCTAGAATTCAAGAGAAAGAAGAGGGCTAGAAAGATGCCTGAGTGGGAAACACCTTAGAGCTGAGGAAGTGATTGAGGATGCTGAGGCTGTGGAACAGTGAGAGATGTGAACTGAAGACAGAACCAACTACCCTTTTCATCTCTTTTCCACCATAGCCGTCTTCATTACTGCAAACCTCTGCTCCACTACCTCTTATCATGTTCTCAACCCTTTCCAGCTTTTTGTTAAAGCTCTCTCTGTCTGTGCCCACCTCGAATAACTCTATTAGTTGTCAATCTTATTTACAAATAAGGGCTTTCCCAGTTTCTACTCAGGCTGTTTTCTCTTAAGCCTCCCTCCCCCATCACCATCAATCTGTGGAAATCTCACCCAATTTCAAGACCTTACTCAAATGCCATGTCCATTCATTCATTCATTCATTCACTCACTCAAAAAATGTTTACTGAATGTCTGCTATACTTAGTGCAAAGGCAACAATGGTAAGACAAAACAAACAAAAATAAGAACAAAGGAGAAAGAGACACACAGAAAGACAAGGTTCCTGACCTCATAGAATGTATAATTTAATACAGACAGATGACATAAAGAGATAAATAACATCCAACGTGGTTGGCTAGTAGAGGTGTGAACAAATGCCATGAGAACCTAGAGAAGGGAGTGAGAAGAAGGCTTCACACCAGAGGTGTCTTTTGAAATGGGTCTTGATGATTAAGAGTTTTCAGTTAGTCTAAAAGCAGAAGCAGAATATGCAAAAAAAAAAAAAAAAAATCCAGTTAGAACGAAAACAGAGTATGCAAAGTAAAAGAAAGAGCAAGGATGGCATCTCATTCATTTCAATTTTTCTCAGCATAATGCAAAAGTTTAATAAATATTTGTTTATTAATAGTCTTAAATGGTTGACATGTTTCCATGGAGAAAGGTAAAACCAGTTAAACTGTTATTAAGCAGGTGAATTAGAGTGATCTTTGAAAACTGACTACTTTTGCTTGATTCATTTTGACCCATCTTATAATTTAGCTTAAACGAAAGGCCAAATTTACTTCAGCTGTAATCTCTAAAAACACAAGATACTAGATTTAAAATGTTTTAAACATAAAAATTAAATTTATATTTGGCAATAGAGTTAACACAAATTGGTAGGTTTTTACATTCTCAACTGCAACTTTGCTAATGATTTTGCAAATTATTCCTACTTGAGTCCAAGCAGTTGCCTTTGGGAACACTTTCTAAAGGGAAAGAGGAGACCTCTAGTGGTAAGTTAGTGAATCTAGCTCTAATAAATTAAAAGTACCCAGTTAAATGCAAATTAGAAAATAACCACTACTAAATTACTGCTGCCATAGATAATCCACCATGATTAAGTGGGTTTCGTACCAGGGATGCGCAAATGGCTTAACATACACAAGTCAATAAACGTTATACGCCACATAAACGCAATTAAAATCAAAAATCACATGATCATCTCAATAGATGCAGAAAAAGCATTTCACAAAATCCAGCATCCCTTTGTGATTAAAATCCTCAGCAAAACTGGCATACAAGGGTATGCCAAAGTAATAAAAGCCATATATGACAAACCCACAGCCAACATAATATGAACAGGGAAAGTTTAAAGCACTCCCTTCAAGAACTGGAACAAGATAAAGATGCCGACTCTCACCAGCCTCCTTTCTTTTTGTTTTTTTGAGATGGTGTTTCACTCTTGTTGCCCAGACTGGAGTGCAATGGCACGACCTCAGCTGACTGCAACCTCTGCCTCCTGGCTTCAAGTGATTGTTGTGCCTCAGCCTTCCAAGTAGCTGGGATTACAGACACCCACCACCACATCCGGCTAATTTTTTGTATTTTTAGTAGAGATGGGGTTTCACCATATTGGCCAGGCTGGTCTTGAACTCCTGACCTGAGGTGATCCACTCCCCTTGGCCTCCCAAAGTGCTGGGATCACAGGTGTGAGCCACCACACCCAGCCTCATTCTCATCACTTCTATTCAACATAATACTGGAAGTCCTAGACAGAGCAATCAGACAAGAGAAGAAAGAAAAGGCATCTAAATCGGTAAAGAGGAAGTCAAATTGTTGCTGTCTGCTAATGATATGATTGTATACCTAGACAACCCTAAAGACTCCTCCAGAAAGCTCCTAGAACCAATAAATGAATTCAGCAGTTTCAGGATACAAAATTAATGTACAAAACTAGTACCTTTCCTATATACCAACAGTGACCAAGCTGAGAATCAAATCAAGAAACTCAACCCCTTTTATAATAGCTGCAAAAATAAATAAATAAATGCTTAGGAATATGCCTAACCAAGGAGGTGAAAGACCTCTAAAAGGAAAACTACAAAACACTGCTGAAAGAAATCACGACACAAACAAATGGAAACACATCCCATGCTCATGGATGGGTAGAGTTAATATTGTGAAAATGATCATACTGCCAAAAGCAATCTACAAATTGCTTCGAGTTCACTGCAGATTCTGGATATTGGTCTTCCCATCAATACAATCCCCATAAAAATACCATCATTCTTCAGAGAACTAGAAAAAATAATCCTAAAATTCATATGGAACCAAAAAACAGCCCACATAGCCAAAGCAAGACTAAGCAAAAAGATAAATCTGGAGGCATGACATTACCTGATTTCAAACTATACCATAAGGCCGTAGTCACCAAAACAGCATGGTACTGGTATAAAAACAGGCACATACACCAATGGAACAGAGAACCCAGAAAGAAAACCAAATACTTATAGCCAACTTACCTTTAACCAAACAAACAAAAACATAAAGTGGGGAAAGGACACCCTATTCAACACATGGTACTGGGATAATTGGCAAGCCACATGTAGGAGAATGAAACTGGATCCTTATCTCTCACCTTATACAAAAATCAACTCAAGATGAATCAAGGACTTAAATCTAAGACATGAAACTATAAAAGTTCTAGAAGATAACATCAGAAAAACCCTTCTTGACATTGGCTTAGGCAAGGGTTTCATGACCAAGAACCCAAAAGCAAATGCAATAAAAACAAAGATAAGTAGTTGGGACTTAATTAAACTAAAGAGCTTTTGCATGGCAAAAGGAACAGTCAGCAGAGTAAACAGACAACTCACAGAGTGGGAGAAAATCTTCACAATCTATACATCTGACAGAAGACTAACATCTAGAATCTACAATGAACTCAAACAAATTAGCAAGAAAAAAACCAAACAATCCCATCAAAAAGTGGGCTAAGGACATGAAGACAGGTCTCAAAAGAAGATATATGAATGGCCAACAAACATATGAAAAAATGCTCAACATCACTAATGATCAGGAAAATGCAAATCAAAACCACAATGTGATATCACCTTACTCCTACAAGAATGGCCATAATCAAAAAATTTAAAAAAATAGATGTTAGCGTAGATATGGTGAAAAGGGAACACTTCTACACTGCTGATGGGAACGTAAACTAGTACAACCACTATGGAAAACATTGCGGAGATTCCTTAAATAACTAAAATTAGAACTACCATTTGATCCAGCAATTCCACTACTAGGTGGCTATCCAGAGGAAAGGAAGTCATTATATAAAAAAAGATACTTGCACACACGTTTATAGCAGCACAATCTGCAACTGCAAAAATGTGGAACCAACCCAAACGCCCATCAATCAATGAGCGGATAAAGAAGCTGTGGTATATATATATATGATGGAATACTACTTAGCCATAAAAAGGAATGAATTAATGGCATTCACAGCAACCTGAATAGGATTATTCTTTTTTTTTTTTTTTTTTTTGTGAGACATAGTCTTGCGCTCTATCACGAGGCTGAAGTGCAGTGGCGCCATCTCAGCTCACTGCAACCTCCGCCTCCCAGGTTGAAGTGATTCCCCTGCCTCAGCCTCCCAAGTAGCTGGGATTACAGGCACATGCCACCACGCCTGGTTAATTTTTTGTATTTTAGTAGAGATGGGGTTTCACCATGTTGACCAAGATGGTCTCAATCTCCTGACCTTGTGATCCGCCTGCCTTGGCTGCCCAAAGTGCTGGGATTATAGGCGTGAGCCACCGCACCTGGCCTGGAGTTTACTATTCTAAGTGAAGTAACCCAGGAATGGAAAACCAAACATCGTATGTTCTCACTCAAAAGTGGGAGCTAAGCTGTGAGGACGCAAAGGAATAAGAATGACATAATAGGCCGGGTGCCGTGGCTAATACAGTGAAACTCTGTCTCTACTAAAAATACAAAAAATTAGCTGGGCGTGATGGCGGGTGCCTGTAGTCCCAGCTACTCGGGAGGCTGAGGCAGGAGAATGGCGTGAACCCGGGAGGCAGAGCTTAAAGTGAGCAGAGATCGAGCCACTGCACTCCAGCCTGAGTGACACAGCAAGACTCTGTCTCAAAAAAAAAAATAAGCAAATAAAAAAGAATGACACAATAAGCTGGATGTGTTGGCTCACACCTGTAATCCCAACACTTTGGGAGGCTGAGGAGGGTGGATCACTAGAGGTCAGGAGTTCGAGACCAGCCTGGCCAACATGGTGAAACCGCATCTCTACTAAAAATATAAAAGTTTGCGGGGCGTGGTGGCATGTGCCTATAGTCCCAGCTACTCAGGAGGCTGAGGCAGAATTGCTTGAGACCAGGAGGCAGAGGCCACAGTGAATTGAGATTGTGCCACTACACTCCAGCCTGGGCAACAGAGCATGACCCTGTCTCAAAAAATAAAAATAAACATGCACTTACCATATGACCCAGCAATTGTACTCTTGCGCACTTATCCTAGAGAGAAAAAAACAGGTTCACACAAGTCTGTACACTTGTGTTCATAGCTGCTTGATTCACAGCTAAAAACTAGAAACAACTCAAATGTCCTTCAATGAGTGAACAGTTGAATATACCTGTATGTCCATTTTCACACTGCTGATAAAGACATACCCGAGACTGAGAAGAAAAAAAGGTTTAATGGACTGACAGTTCCACATGGCTGGGGAGGCCTCACAATCATGGTGGAAGGCAAGGAGGAGCAAGTCACATTTTACATGGATGGCAGCAGGCAAAGAAAGAACTTGTGCAGGGAAACTTTTTAAAATTATCAGATCTTGTGAGGCTCATTCACTATCTGGAGAACAGCACAGGAAGAACCCACCTCCATAATTCAATCACCTCCCACCCGGTTCCTCCCACAACACATGGGAATTGTGAGTTACAATTCAAGATGACAAGATGAGATTTGGGTGGGGACACAGCCAAACCATATTAATACTGTAGTACATCTACATTATGGAATGCCACTCAGTAATAAAAAGGAACTACTGATACAAGTAACAGTTTGGATGTATCTCAAGGGATTATGCTGAATGAAAGAGTCAATCTCCAAAAGTTACATACTGTATAATTACAATAATTACATTTATGTAACGTTCTTGATATAACAAAATTTTGGAAACAGAGAGTAGATTGGGTGGGGCTACAAAGGGAAGTTGTGGTTATAAAAGGGCAACTGGAGAGACCCTTGTGATGATAGACCTGGGCTGTACCTTGACTGTAGCGGTGGATACAAGAATCCACACACCTGATAACAATATATAACTAAATATACACAGAGAACACTAATACAAAATGAGGAATCTGAATGAGATCAATGGATTGTGTGAATGTCAATTACCTGGCTGTGATATCGTACTAGTTTTGCAAGATGCTACCACTAGGAAGACTGGGTACAGGGTACACAGAATCTCTATTCTTACAGTTGCATGGGAATCCACAATTACCTCACAAAGTTGAATAACCATCTCTTTTTTTCATCTGTGATGGAACAAGCAGGCAATATTCTACATTGTTTTAACAAATAAAGCAAACTATGTACCACTGTTCTGGTAGTAAAACCCTTTAACCATAATAAATGCCATCACGTAGCAAATGCTTCGCTGTGCTAAACACCTTATCTCGTGTAATCTGCTCAACGGCCCTAAGATTAGGGAGACACTGCTATCATTCCTAGTTCACAGAGGAGGGTCGGACGCAAAGAGGTGAAGTGATTTCCTGGAGCCACCTGACCAAAGACTGGAACCAAGATTCTAAGAGGCACACGAAGTCCTTCTGGTAATAAATTTGTGTCATTCTATTTGTTATGTTCAGCTGTGCTAACCCTAAAAATTAAAAACTGCCATCAAGCATACAGAATGGGCGTTAGTAACACCCGTGTTAGCACGGTGATAGTGAATCACATAATTTTAAGGAGTTAGAAGGTCCTTTAGACATTACGCAGCCCACTGCCCTCATTTTTACAGAATGGGAATCAGGTGAAGTGACCTGTACAGGTGAGTCGCTGCTCAGAGCCCGCACAGCACATTTAAAACTGATTTCGGTTCAGTACTCGAGAAAAGGGCACAGACTGATAAATGGTGGCAAAGACCGAGCTGTCTGGTTCATCCGGTACCCAACGCCGGGTCCAGTACAGAGCAGGCGCTCGATATTTACAAGACGAATCAATGACTGAATGAATAGCACCGCCAGGAGCCCCATAAAAGAAGTCCAGAAGACTACGGGCTGTCAGTCTTCGCTGTGACAAACAGCCTCCGTGAGGACCGAGGACTAGGGACGGACAGGGAGCGCCCTTCCAGTGGACGCTCGACTCGGCTAGGGCCGGGACGGAGACGGTGGGTGCCCGGGCCCTCTCCCTCCCGCTGGCCGCGTGCAGGGCCGAGCGGGAGCGGGAGCGGGGGGGGGGGGGGGGGGGGCGGGGCGGGGGCGGGGCCGAAGCCGAGCCGGGAGAAAGAAGCCGCTGGGCCCACCCAAACAAGCATTTTCACCGTAATCCCGCCCTCAAAGTTTCTCCCGCGGCCCATATCCGCATGGCGGTGAAGGTCGAAGATGCGCGACCTAAAGGGCCAGGTTTTCGGTCAGCCCAGCGTTGGCGAAGAGCGAGGGCGGAACACAACGACCAGCCTAGTACCGCCCGGTTAGGGGCCTAGCTCCTCTACTCACAGCGTTGGAAGTAGGGAGCCAGCCCGCGTCCGCGCGTCTGCGGCGCACTGGCCTGCCCTTCGCCCTCCGCCGCGCGCGCCCATTGGCCACCGCAGCCTCTCCCACATGGGGCGAAGGCGCGCACTTCATTGGCCCCCGCATGAGGGGCGGGGCTAGAGGACGCCGGTCTCCGGCCGTGGAGGGTCAAGTGGCGGCTTCTGAAAGCTGAGGCAGGGGAGCGTAGGGGATGGTGCCGGCGCTGCGTTATTTGGTTGGTGCCTGCGGACGGGCCCGCGGGGGTTTCGCCGGGGGCTTCCTTGGGGCGTGCGGGTCGGCGTCTGGGAGGCCCCGACCGCTGTGTGGAGGTGGCCGCAGCGCCAGCACCAGGTGAGTGACAGCTGGTCCTCCCCGCCGCCTGCACTGCTGCCTCTCGCAGAGGCACCTGGTGGTGGACCTGTGCCCCTGTTCCTATTTCCCTGTCCCGGGGTGAGAGCAGGTTGGGGTCTTGTGGCGCTCCAACCTCGGATCCCAGGAGCTACCAACCTGCAGGTTCATTCGTTGTATTTACGGGCTGGAGGAAAGGCAGTGTATAGAGTAGAGGTCAAGAGTAGCTCTGGCTTTGAGCAACCCGTTCACTTGCTGTTGAACTCTGGGCTACTTAACCTCCTTAAGAGCTCAGTCGTGAATGGGACCTTAGCGTCTCCTGTAGGTGGTCGTTTGAAGGATAAAAGGACCTAGCACACAGTGTAAGCAATCAAATATGCTGTTTATTAGCTGGCGTCTTTGGCGTTGCTTGGAAGATCTGAATACAGTCTTAAATCAGTTCCTGGCACACCCCGCATAGAGTTTCCCCCATCGGAAGCAGCTCTTATGCTAATCAAAGCCCGCAGAATTCAGTGTCCTGTGATTTATAGTTTGGACGTGACTTTCGAAACCACTGTCTTTCTCTGCCCTCTGTAGAAGAAACAGTTTGTGTGAAGGCTGTAAGGCTTGGAGAGGTTTTGGCTATTTTGAGGACTAGAAGGTGGGCCATATGAGTGTGACTGAAGCTTAGTGGAAGACAGATGGTGTGGAATGACCCGGGAGAAGGACTACATCACAGCAAGGTTTTTATTTTATTTTAACCACACGTTAACTTTTATTCTAAGAGCCACGGGAAACTATTTAAAAGGGTTTTAAGAAGAGGCTACACTTTGGGAGGCCGAGGCGGGCGGATCGCCTGAGGTCAGAAGTTGGAGACCAGCCTAACCAACATGGCAAAACCCCGTCTCTACTAAAAATATTTTAAAAATTAGCCTGGCGTGTTGGTGAGCCCCTGTAATCCCAGTTACTCGGGAGCCTTAGGCAGGAGAATCGCTCGAACGTGGGAGGCGGAGGTTGCAGTGAGTCGAGATCGCGCCATTGCACTCTAGCCTGGGCAACAGAGCGAGACTCTGTCCCGCAAAAAAAGAAAGAAAGAAAGAAGAGACTAGCGATTAAATGTTGATGTTGTAAAAGTTGACTGGCTGCTGCGTGTTGGTGGATGAGGGGAGTAGAGTGGGAGACCAGTAATAGTGATTGTGATTTTTTGTGGGGCATGTAGACAGTTCTTTTGGGAAGCTTTTCTTAAGGAAAGAAAAGTAGGGCTAGTGAAAGTTTTGTTTATACTTAAAATGTTTTTTAAAACAATTTTTGGAGTCAGGGTCTCACTCTGTTGCCAAGGCTGGTTTGCAGTGGCACAATCATAACGCAGCCTCCACCCTCTTGGGCTCAAGTGATCCTCCCGCCTCAGCCCCCCTCCCCAACTCTTCCTGCCCTCCAGAAGCTGGGACCACAGGCAGCTAATTATTTTCCTATTTTTTGTAGAGACGTCGCCCAGGCTGGTCTCGAACCCCTGACCTCAAGTGAACCTCCCTCTTCAGCCCCCCAAAGGGCTGACAGTACAGGTGTAAGCCACTGTGCCTGACCTATACTTTTATTTTGAAATAATTATAGATCCATTGGAAGTTGCAAAAATAGTACAGGCCAAGCATGGTGACTCAGGCCTGTAATCCCAGTGCTTTGGGAGGCTGAGGCAGGAGGATCACTTGAGCCCAGGAGTTTGAGACCAGCCTGGGCAAAATATGAGATCCCATCTCTACAAAATAAAAAATAAAATTAAATAAACAGTACAAAGAGATCCCATGTACCCTTCACCCCATTTACCCTAATGAAAACGTCTTATATAACTGTAGTACAATATCAAAACCAGGAAATTGATATTGGCAAAATCCATGGACATTGTTCAGCTTTCATCAGTTTTACATGTATTCGTGTGTGTGTGTGTGTGTGTAGTTCTATGCAGTTTAATCATATGTATTAATTTGTGTAACTACCACCTCAATTAAGATATGAAAATGTGGCCAGGCATGGTGGCTCAGGCCTATAATCCCAGCACTTTAGGAGGCCCAGTTGGGAGGATCGGTTGAGCCTGAGTTGGAGACTAGCCTGGGCAACAAAGGGAGACAGCAAAACCCCTGCTCTACACAAAAATTAAAAAATAATTAGCCAGGTGTGGTGGCTTGCTCCTGTAGTCCTTGTGGAGCTGAGGCAGGAGGATCACCTGAGCCCAGGAGGTTGAAGGTGTGGTGACCTATGGTTACACCACTGCACTGAAGCGTGGACAACAGAGCAAGACTCTCTTAAAAAAAAAAAAAAAAAAAAAAAAAAGGTGATATAAAAAAATTCTGTTGCCACAAGGTTATCTGTTGTGTTACCTATCTCTTTATATTCACACCTTCCTCTCCATTATTCCTAACTCTTGGCAACTGTGAATCTAAATTTTTTTTTTTTTTTACACAGAGTCTCGCTCTGTCACCCAGGCTAGAGTGCAATGGCATGATCACGCCTCTTTGCAACCTCTGTCTCCTGGGTTGAAGTGATTCTCCTGCCTCAGCCTCCCGAGTAGCTGGGATTACAGGCATGTGCCACCACGCCCGGCTAATTTTGTATTTTGAGTAGAGATGGGGTTTCACCATGTTGGCCAGGCTGGTCTCAAAACTCACCTCAGGTGATCCATCCGCCTCAGCCTCCCAAAATGTTAGGGTTATAGGCATGAGCCACTGCACCCTGCCTGAAATTTTTTATATCACCAAATATTTACTATAAAACTTTTAGAAAAAGGACAAAATCTTTGGACCTTGAGATGACATCAAAAGTGTGATCTCTAAAAGAAAAAAATGGACAAAATGGACTTCATCAACATGAAAAACTTTTGCTCTGCAAAAGACTGTTAAGAGGATGAAAAAACTACCAAGAGATTGGGAAAAAATACCAGCAACTGCATATCTCCCAAAGGACTATTACATAAAATACATAAAGAACTCTCAAAACAAGCCTTTGGAGACCGGCTTTTTTCGCACAGCCTAATGTCCTTAAGATCCATCCAAGGTGTCGCCTGTATTGATAGCGGGTTTTTCAAAATTGTTGAATAGAATTCCATGGTATGGATACATCACAGTTTAACCATTTAACATTAGTTGAAAAACATCTGAGCTGCTTCCAGTTTTTGGCTATTATGAATAAAGCTACTATGAACATTCATGTTCAGGCGTTTGTATGAACAAAAGTTTTCATTTCTCTAGAATAAATGCCCAAGAATGCAGTTGCTGAGTCATGTAGTAAGTCCATGTTTAGTTTTTTTTTTTTTAAGAAACTGCCATACTCTTTCAGAGTGGCTGTATTATTTTACATTCCCACCAGCTATGTGTGAGTAATCCAGTTTCCCTTCATTCTCACCAGCATTTGGGGTTATGACTTTTTAAATTTTAGCCATTCTGATAGAGATGTAGTGATATTGTGGTTTTTATTTACATTTCTCTGATGCAATGGTGTTTGAACAATGCAGTGACTAATGGTATTGAACATCTTTTCATGTGCTTCTTTGCCATCTGTGTATCTGTCTTGTTTGATGAAATGTTTGTTAATATCTTTTGCCCACTTTTTGTTTTTTTTTTTTTGGAGAAGGAGTTCTGCTCTTGTTGCCCAGGCTGGAGTGCAGTGGCGTGATCTCGGCTCACCACAACCTCTGCCTGCTGGATTCAAGCGATCTTCCTGCCTCAGCCTCCCGAGCAGCTGGGATTACAGGCATGCGCCACCATTCCTGGCTAATTTTGTATTTTTGGCAGAAATGGGGTTTCTCCATGTTGTCATGGCTGGTCTCAAACTCCCGACCTCAGGTGATCTGCCCGCTGTGGTCTCCCAAAGTACTGGGATTAAAGGCGTGAGCCATCGTGCCTGGCCTGCCTATTTTCTAAATGGCTTGTTTCGAGAGTTCTTTTATGTATGAGTCCTTTGGGAGATATGCAGTTCCTAGTATTTTTTTTTTCCCAATCTCTTAGTTTTTTATCCTCTTAACAGAGTCCTTTGCAGAGCAAAAGTTTTACGTTTTAATAAAGTCCATTTTATCTATTTTTTTCTTTTATGGATCATGTTTTTGATGTCAACTCTAAGTTCCAAGATTTTGTCCTATTTTTTCCTGAAAATTTTAAAGTGAATATTTGGTGATATAAAAAAATTCGTGTTAATGTTTTTAACTATAATGGTAGTGTGTGTTTTTAGAGATGCCTTTTAGAAATAACATTGAAATATTTACAGATGAAATAATGTGATGTTTAATATTTGCACCAAAATAGTATACTACAGGAGAGGATGAAATAGAGTTTAGAAGAAGCCAGATTTGCTGTGAGTTGATAATTAGTGAAGCTGGGTGATGTATATATGGGGCTTCATTGAACTATTTTGTCTAACTTTGTGTAGGTGTGAACTTTTCCATAAAAAGATTAAGACAATTATCTGTTAAACCATTCATTGGGGTTAACTTGAGATTAAGTGAGTTGTGGAGAAAGATGTCCCTTTCAGCCTCCATGGTTAGCTTAGCCTGCACCTGTCCTCCAGTGTTCATCTATGACTGTTGTTCTGTTCATCTTTCTCCGTAGTGGATGCTTGGAGATTTGTGCTTTAGTTTGTGAAACATATTTCAATGATTTTGTGTCACTGGATAAAACAGTGATTCTTCAGATTTGAGGGGGGGAGTGAAGGGTGGCACATGTAGTTGGAAAAAGCATATTCAGTATGATAGTTTTATGTTTGAAAATAAGAAGAGTTTATTGATGGTTGTAATATAATCTGCAAAAACAATATATTGGCTGGGAATCTGTACCAAGGTAATAATTCTAAGTGGAAGGTCTACCTCCCCAAAAGCTTTTGTGTTATAATTATCAAAAGGCAGCAAGGGGCCATGTGCAGTGGCTCATGCCTGTATTCCCAGCATTTGGGGAGGCTGAGGCAATTGGATCACCTGAGGTCAGGAGTTTGAGACCAGCCTGACCAACATGGTGAAACCTCGTCTCTACTAAAAATACAAAAACTACCCCAGCATGGTGGTGTTCACCTATAATCTCAGCTACTAGGGAGGCTGAGGCAGGAGAACCGCTTGAACCTGGGAGTGGGAAGTTGCAGTGAGCCGAGATCATGCCGCTCCACTCCATTGTGGGCAACAGAGTGAGACCCTGACTCCAAAATTTTTTTAAACATTTTCAGTATAAACAAAACTTACACTAGCCCTGCTTTTTCTTACCTTAAGAAAAGCTTCCCAAAAGAACTGTCTACATGACTCACAAGAAATTACAATCACTATTACTGGTCTCCCACTCTACTACCCCCATCCACCAACACACAGCAGCCAGAGTCAACTTTTAGAACATCAACATTCAATCACTAGCCTCCGTCTAAAAAAAAAAAACAAAAAAAAAACAAAAAAACAAAAACAAAAAACCCAAAAAACAAAAGGCAGCAAGGATGAGAACATTATTATGGAAGTCAAAACCACCTGTGTAAGTGCCAAGGTTATGCTACCTTTTACAGAAAAGTGAGGCTTGAAGGCAAAGCAAAGTATCATAGTTGAACTTGAAAGTAAGAAACAAAAACAGTGTGAAAGTTGTCTCTCTTATACACACACAGCCATGTAATTGATGTAGATATCAACTTGATAAATTAAAAAAATACAGCCAGATACGGTGGCTTATGCCTGTAATCCCAGCATTTTGGGAGGCCAAGGCGGGCGGATCACGAGGTCAAGAGATCAAGACCATCCTGGCCAACATGGTGAAACCCGTCTCTACTAAACATACAAAAATTAGCTGGGCCTGGTGGCGCACACCTGTAGTCCCAGCTACTCAGGAGGCTGAGGCAGGAGAATCACTTGAACCCAGGAGCTGGAGGTTGCAATGAGCCGAGATTATGCCACTGCACTCCAACCTGGTGACAGAGCCAGACTCCGTCTCATCAAAAAACAAAACAAAACAAAACAAAACAGTCGGTCAAAACAGTCGGTCCTCGTTTTTGTGGGTTCTGCATCTGCAGATTCAACCAACTATGGATCAAAATATTTGGAAAAAACTATAAAAAATAACACAATTTAAAATACAGTATAACAACTATTCACATAGCATTTACATGGTACTATGTACTGTAAGTAATCCAGAGATGACTTAAAGTATATTGGAGAATGTGTGTAGATTATATGCAAATACTGTGCCATTTCATAGAAAAGACTTGAACATATGCGGATTTCCCATGGTATCCATGGGAGTCCTGAAACCAATCCCTTGTGGGTATTGAGGGATGACTATGTATAAAATACGATTAAGTAATACACATACAAATATCTTAAGTATTTGTAAATGTTTTGAACACCTACGTTAGTGGAAGATTATAGAGGTTTTGAAAAATAAAAAGCCTATCTTAACAATAGTTATTCTTCTGGAATTCTTCAAAGCCAGGATATTTTAGAATCCATAAAACATCTGTTTATTGTGACAGTTGTGTAAAGGGTCAATGGCTAGATAAAAGATACCTTTTATCTACTGAACTTATGTTTTTAAAAACCTGTTTAAAGGCTTGGACTTCCAAATACACTCTGATCATATTAGTAATTTTTTAGTTGACCACTGTAAGCATTTGCCAATAACTAGTATTAATGTAGTGGACCCAGAATCCCATTTTGCTTGTGCTGCTCTTTTTATACCCTCTCTTTTTAAATGAGGTGTCATTCACTATCCTTGACAACCATTTTATCCAATCTAAAGCTGCTGCAGGAGAACCACCTGCTGAGCATCACCTGGAGGTTCTCCCTGTTTAAGTTATGAGGCTTATGCTCTGACCGAGGGAACTTTATCCACTTATGACCCCCAAATTAATTTATGATGTAGGATTTGATTTATCAAGCTTACATGTTAGTTCCTAGTTGTCCAGGTATCTGTTTCTGGTTCCAGATATAGCCATAGATGTGGTAACAATTCTAATCAAATTTATGTGCTTTGCTAAGGATTTTGAAATTGAAACTTAGGTCACTTTTCAAAGAAAGGCCCTAATCTCTGAAATTTCCCTCTGTCTACTGTTCCTAGAAGATCCATATTTGTTGACCATCAGGTTAGTGTTAAAGGTAATCTTTTAAGCTTCTAATTGCAGAGTTATATAAATTATACATGCCTGTTCTAAATTTTGTAAATGGTGGTATAATCAGGGTTTGCCATGGCAAAGATTGTGGTTCCTAAGCCCATTTCTGGACCAATTATTGCCCCAAGGTTTATTTTCTCAGAGTTGTTTCCTTCTCAAAGAAAAACATGTAAAAATTCTTGCACACTAAAGTGTTAAAGCTTTAATGTGCTAACGCATTGTCAAGAATACTACATTGGAATTTTAAAAGGATAAGTAGTAGAAGCATGACTATGCTTAACACAAAGTATACTCATGCACTGCATAACAACGTTTTGGTCAACCACAGACTGCATGTACAATGGTGATACCAAAGATTATAATACCTGTTTTTTTCTGTACCTTTTTTTATATTTACACATTTTTAGATGCACAGATACTTACCATTGTGTTACAGTTGCCTGCAATATTCAATATAGTAACCTGCTGTACAGGCTTGTAGTCTAGGAGCAATAGGCTATACCATATAGCCTAGGTGTACAGTAAGCTATATCATCTAGGTTTGTGTAAGTACATTCTGTGATGTTGCACAATGAAATCACCTAGCAATGCATTTCTTAGAACCTATCTCTATGGTTAAGCAATGCATGACTGCAGTCACTTATGTAACCAGCCCGGCTGCTGTGCTATGGAAATATAGAGCAGATTGGGCAACCAGCTATCCTGCCTGCCAGTAAGCTGTAGTTGATTACCCTGCTGACCAGCGATGTGTATAAGTTTTGAGGGTTTTTTTTTTTAATGCGTATAACTTTTTTTTTTTTTTGAAACAGGGTCTGGTCTGTCTTTCAGGCTGGAGTGCAGTGGCATGACCTCGACTCATTGCAACCTCCGCCTCCCAGGTTCAAGCGATTCTCCAGCCTTAGCCTCCCGAGTAGTTGGGATTACAGGTGCCTGCCACCACACCCAGCTAATTTTTGTATTTTTAGTAAAGATGGGGTCCTACCATGTTGGCCAAGCTGGTCTTGAACTCCTAACCTCAAGTGATCCACCTGCCTTGGCCTCCCAAAGTGCTGGGATTACAGGCATGAGCCATCACACCCAGCTTTGATTTGTATAACTTTTAAGGGTTTTTTTTTTTTTTTTAAATACATGTGAAACCAAATAGCACAGGGCCCAATACTTTTTTTTTTTCTTTTTTTTTTTTTTTGAGATGGTGACTTGCTCTGTCACCAGGCTGGAGTGCAGTGGTGCAATCTTGGCTCACTACACCCTCCGCTTCCCAGGTTCAAGTGATTCTCCTGCCTCAGCCTCCCGAGTAACTGGGACTATAGGTGTGCGCCACCACGCCCAGCTAATTTTTGTATGTTTAGTAAAGTTGGGGTTTCACTATGTTGGCCAGGATGGTCTCGAGCTCTTGACCTCTTGATCCGCCCGCCTTGGCCTCCCAAAATGCTGGGATTACAGGCATGAGCCACCACGCCTGGCTGCCCAGTACATTTTAATGATTACAAATTAATAGTTTAATTGTCCATTGATGATGAAAATTATGCATGTGAAGTTTGGTGAGGTCTACTGTAAATATGCATTACTTTAAAGATGACTTTCTTTTGAAGCTCGTTTGATATAGTCATCATTGGTGGCGGAATTGTGGGGCTTGCCTCTGCCAGAGCACTCATCCTGCGACATCCATCACTTTCTATTGGTGTTCTGGAAAAGGAGAAAGATTTAGGTATGTATATAATCAAAGTTGTTCTTTGGGCTTACTTGGGCATCTGCTTATTTTGTCTGTTCTGAATCTTTCATGCTGAATGTCAATGTTAGTATCTTAGTTTGTGTTCTAAAAGCAGAGTGTGGGACAAGGACATGGCTATAGGTTATTTATTTGAGAGGTTAAAGCGCAGTGTGGGACACAGAGGACATGTTTATAGGTTATTTATTTGAGATGTTATCTGAGGAAACAGGAGTGAGGGGGTGAGGAAAGTAAGACAGGGAGGGAGGAAAAGACATGAGAACACATCAAGATTGCTGTGGTGAGCTCGATTCCACCGGAACCTCTGAGGAGCAGTATAATGTCTCCCAGGATTGTGCTCACGTATCCGTCAGCTCCTGTCCCTACTGGTTGAGGATTGCTGCTGGTGATGTTGAGCACTCTGTGCCTTTCTCTAAAAAAGTTAGCAGAGGCCCCAAGGCAGAGTGCAAAGAGACATAGTGGGCCCCTGAAGTGGTGTGCTGGTAATGAGAGGTAAGTTTGTGCACCAAAGTTGTAGTTTAAATCAAGAGACGGACTGGAGGGATGCAACATGGATACCAGGGATGGCTGTGAGAAGCAGCTACCAGTTATCTGAACGAATTCAGGCAGAATTTTACATGATGTGGTCTCTAATAGCTTCAACTATTAGTTTGTTCTCTTACCTCTTATGTTTTGTATGAATCATGTACTTACTCTTATACCCTGTTTGTCTTATTCTGTAGCTGTTCACCAGACTGGACATAACAGTGGTGTCATACATAGTGGAATTTATTATAAACCTGAGTCTCTGAAAGCCAAATTATGTGTACAAGGTGCAGCCCTTCTCTATGAATACTGTCAGCAAAAGGGAATTTCCTACAAGCAGTGTGGCAAGGTATGGCATTTTACCAGAGCCTTGACTGATTTCCAACTAGCGTTTTCTTAGTGATGTTTAGTATTACATTTTTAAAAAATATGGTATTTTGTTTCTTTGTATCTATGTAATTTTTGAAATCTAATCTTAGGGAAGAACTAAAAAAAGATGGTGTGACTTTATGTAATTTTCTAAATAAAAGTTTTATTGACATATAATTTATGCACCATACATTTCGCCCTTTTAAAGTGCACAGATCAGTTTTTAGTATACTCACAGAGCTGAGCAATCATCACCACTATCTAATTTTAGGCTTTTTCATCACCCCAAAAAGAAACCCCATATCCATTAACAGTCACTCCCCATTTCCACCTTCCCTGATGCTCTAGCAACCACTTTCTGTCTTTGTGGATTTGCCTATTCTGCACTTTTCATATAAATACCTTCATATGCTATGTGGTCTTTTGTGCTGACTTCTTTCATTTAGCATAATGTTGTCAAAGTCCATCCATGTTATAGCATGAATCAGTACTTCATGGCTTTTGTGGCTGAACAATATTCCATTGTATGAATATACCACATTTTGTTTATTTGTTCATCAGTTGATAGACATGTGGATTGTTTCCACCTTTTGGCTGCTATGGATACTGCTGCTATGAACATTCATGTACAAGTTTTTGTGTGAACATATGTTTTCATTTATGTTGGGTATATACCTGGGAGTGGAATTGCTGGTTGTCAGGGTAACTCCATGTTTAACATTTTGAGGAACTGCCAAATGGTTTTCCAAAGCGCTGTACTATTTTACATTCCCACCAGTAATTAATTAGGATTCCAATTTTCCATGTCCTTGCCAACATCTATTTTGATTTGTCTTTTTTATTTTAGCCATCCTAGTGGAAGTTTTGATTTGCAGTTCCCTAGGGATAATGATGTTGAGTGTCTTTTATTTCTTCCTTTTTAGAAAATAGTTCTATTTTCTAAATATTAGCCAGATACTGTGGCTAATGCCTGTAATCCCGGCACTTTGGAAGGCCAAGGCTGGAGGATCACTTGAGCCCAAGGGTTCGAGACCAGCTCAGGCAACATAGTGAGACCCCATCTCTACAAAAAATTTAAAAAGTTAGCCAGGTGCGATGGTGCACACCTATAGTCCCAGCTACTTGGGAGGCTGAGGTGGGAGGACTGCTTGAGCCTGGGAGATCGAGGCTGCAATGATCCATGATCATGCCACTGTATTTCAGCCTGGGGGACAGAGCGAGGCCTTGTCTCAAAAAAAAAAAAAAATTAAAATTATTACTTTTTAACTTTATTTCTTATTTAAAAGTTGAGACGGGATCTTTCTTTGTTCCCCAGGCTGGTCTCAAACTCCTGGCTTCAAGCACTCCTCCTGCCTTGGCCTCCTAAAGTGCTGGGATTACAGGTGTGAGCCACTGTGCCTGGCCTAAAATTATTTTTTAATTGACAAAAACTGTATATATTTATCATGTACAACATGTTGTTTTGAAGTATGTATACGTTGTGGGCCGGGCACGATAGCTCACGCCTGCCTGCAATCCCAGCACTTTGGGAGGCTGAGGCAGGTGGATCACGTGAGGTCAGGAGTTTGCGAACAGCCTGGCCAACATGGTGAAACCCCATCTCTACTAAAAATATAAAAATTAGCCAGCTGTGGTAGCACACACCTGCGATGCCAGCTACTTGGGAGGCCGAAGCACGAGAATTGCTTGACCCTGGGAGGCAGAGGTTGCAGTGAGCCGAGACCTCACCACTGAATTCCAGCCTGGGCAACAGAGTGAGACTCTGTCTCAATAAGTATGTGTACATTGTGGAATGGCTAAATCAAGCTCACCAACATATGCATTACCTTTCATACTTATTTTTTTTTATGATGCAAAGACTTAAATCTACTCTCTGAGCAGTCTTCAAGAATATAATACGTTATTAACTACAGTCAACATTTTGCGTAAAAGATATCCTGAACTTACTTCTCTTACTTAACTGAAATGTTGTATCCTTTAACAAGTATCTTTCCATACCACCCCTGCCTCCCTGCCACCCCCAGCCCCTGGTAACCACCATTCCACTCTCTACCTCTGTGAGTTCAACTTTTTGAGATTCTACATATAAATGAGATCATGCAGCATTTATCTTTCTGTGCTTGGTTTATTTCACCTAAGATAATGTCCTCCAGGTTCATCTCTGTTGTCATTTGTGGCATGGACCATTTGTGACAATAGAGATGAACATGGAGGATATTATCTTAAGTATTTCTCATTATCTTAAAGATTTTCTCCTTTTTTAAGGATGACTGGTATTTTGTTGTGTATCCGCCCAACCCGGCCTCCCACAGTGTTGGGATTACAGGCGTGAGCCACCACGCCTGGCCTGATCATATGGTTTTTGTCCTTCATCTTGTTGATACGATGTGTCACATTGATTCATTTACATATGTTGAACCATCCTTTGCATCCCTGGGTTAAATCCCACTTGGTCATGATGAATGATCTTTTTAATGTGTTGTTGAATTTGGCTTGCTAATATTTTGTTAAGGATTTTTGTATAGTGTTCATCAGGGATATTGGCCTATAGTTTTCATTTTTTTGATGTGTCTTTGTCTGGTTTTGGTATTGGTACTACCAGCCTCATGGAATGTGTTTGGAAATATTTCCTCCTCTATTTTATGGAATAGTTTGAGTAGGGTTTGGTATTAGTTCTTCTTTAAATGTTTGGTAAAATTTAGCAGTGAAGCCATCAGGTTCTGGGCTTTTCTTTACTGGGAGACTTTTTATTATGGCTTCGCTCTTATTGCTTGTTATTGGTTTGTTCAGGTTTTGGATTTCTTCATGGTTCAATCTTGGTAGGTTGTATGTGTCCAGGAATTTATTCATTTCTTCTAAGTTTTCTAATTTATTGGCATATATATTTGGTCATAGTAGCCTTTAACAATTTTTTGAATTACTGTGGTATTGATTGTAATATCTCCTTTTTCATCTCTGATTTTATGTATCTGGGTCTTCTCTTTTTCTTAGTCTGACTAAAAATTTGTCAATTCTATTTATCTTTTCAAAAAAACCAACCTTTCATTAATCTTTTGTATTGTTTTCTTTGTTTCGATTTCATTTATTTCTGCTCTGATCTTCATTATTTCTTTCCTTCTACTAATTTTGCATTTGGTATGCTCTTGCTTTTCTAGTTTTTTAAGATGCATTGTTAGATTATATGAAGTTCTACTTTTTTGATATAGGTGCTTATAGCTATAAACTTTCCTGTTAGTACGGCTTTTGCTGTTTCCCATAGGTTTTGGTATGTTGTGTTTCTGTTTTCATTTGTTTCATTTAGGAGCATATTGGTTTTGTTTGCTTGTTTATTTTTTTTAGATAGAGTCTCACTCTGTCACCCAGGCTGGAATATAGTGGCACTATCACAGATCACTGGAGCCTTGACCTCCCAGGCTCAAACAGTCATCCCACCAGCCGGGCGTGGTGGCTCATGCCCATAATCCCAGCACTTTGGGAGGCCGAGGCAGGGGGGATCACCTGAGGTTGGGAGTTCGAGACCAGCCTGACCAAGATGGAGAAACCCCGTCTCTACTAAAAATACAAAATTAGCTGGGTGTTTTGGTGCATGCCTGTAATCCCAGCTACTTGGGAGGCTGAGGCAGGATAATTAATTGCTAGAACCTGGGAGGCAGAGGTTACAGTGAGCTGAGATCGTGCCATTGCACTCCAACCTGGGCAACAAGAGTGAAACTCTGTCTCAAAAAAAAAAAAAAAAAAAAAAAAAAAAAAAAAAGTCCTTCTACCTCAACCTCTGGAGTAATGGGGATCACAGGTGCACCACCATGCCTGGCTAATTTTTTTTTTTTTTTTTTTTTTTTTTGAGATGGAGTCTTGCTGCCACCCAGCCTGGAGTGCAATGATGCCATCTCAGCTCACTGCATCCTCCACCTCCTGGGTTCAAGCAATTCTCCAGCCTCAGCCTCCCAAGTAGCTGCGACTACAGGTGCACACCACCACGCCTGGCTAATTTTTGTATTTTTAGTAGAGATGTGGTTTCACCTTGTTAACTAGGCTGGTCTCAAACTCCTGACCTCAAGTGATCTACCCGCCTCAGCCTCCCAAAGTGCTGGGATTACAGGTGTGAGCCACCATGCCCAATCATTTTGTTGTTGTTGTTGTTCTTTTTTTTTTTTTTTTTTAAGTTAGGATCTCCCTCCATTGCTCAAATTGGTCTCAAACTCCTGGGCTCAGGTGCTCAAGTGATTTCTCACCTTGGCCACCTAAAGTGTTGAGATTACAGGTGTGAACCACCGTGCCTGGCCAGCAGCATATTGTTTAATTTACATGTGTTTGTATAGTTTCCAAAATTTCTCTTGTTATTGATTTCTAGTTTTATTCCATTGTGGTCAGAGAATATACTTGATATAATTTCATTAAAAAAATTTTTAAAGACCTGTTTTGTGGCCCAACATATTGGTCTATCCTTGAGAATGATCCACGTGCTGGAGAGAAGAATATATATTCTGTGGCTTTTGGATGAAACTGTCTGTAAATATCTATTAGGTCCATTTGGTCTGTAGTGCACAGTAGTTTATTCTTTGTGATGCTTTTGTGAGAATTGTTCTCCTAATTTCATTTTTTGTAATTCATTGCTAATGCATGGAATATGATTGATTTCTGTATGTTGATTTTTTTTTTTAATCCAGTGACCTTTCTGAACTCATTTTGTTCTAATTGTGTGTGTGTGTGTCTGTCTGTCTATGAATTCCTTAGGCTTTACTATATGCAGGATCATGTCATCTGCAAATAAGTTTCTTTTCCAATTTAGATGTCTTTTACCTACTTATTCTGCTTACCTGATTTCCACGAGTGGAAGCTCCAATACTGTGTTGAACAGAAGTAGTAAAAGTGGACCTTCTTGAATTGTTCTTGATCTAATGGAGAAGCATTCAATCTTTTACCCTTAAGTTTGATGTTAGTTGTGGATTCCCTTTATCAGATTAAGAAAGTTCCTTTCTGTTCCTAGTTTGTTGAGTGTTTTCTATCATGAAAAGGTGTTGAATTTTCTCAAATGCCTTTTCTGCTTCTATTGAGGTGATCATGTGGTTTTTATCCTTTATTCTGTTAATGTAGTGTATTAATACATTTTTGGATGTTAAATTGATTTTACATTCCTGTGATAAATCCCTCTTGGTCATGGTGTAAAATCCTCTCTATATGTTGCTGCATTCAGTTTATTAGTATTTTGTTCAGGGTTTTGCATTAATATTTTTAAGGGATATTGGTTTGCAATTTCTTACGATATTTGGTTTTGGTAAAAGGCAAAATACTTTTTCTTTCTGAAGAGAAACCAGAGCACTGGTTGTAGTATCAAACTAATATTGGCCTCACAGAATTAGTTGGGAAGTGATTCTTAGTCTTCTGTTTTTTGGAAGAGTTTATGAAGAATTAGTTTTTTTTTTTTTTTAACATCTGGTAGCATTTGTGAATAAAGCCTCTCAGCCTGGGCTTTTTTTTTTTTTTTAATGTGGGAAGTTTTCAGTCACTTCATGTGTTATAGGTTTATTAAGTTTTTCTTGTCGAATCAGTTTCAGAACTTTGTGTTTTTCTAATAATTTGTTCATTCCATCTAGATTTTCTAATTTGTTGCCATACAATTGTTCATAGTGTTCTTTTATAAGTCCTTTTATTTCTGCAATGTTGGTAGTCATGTCCCTTCTTCATGTAAGTTTTTTTTTTTTGGAGACAGGATCCTACTTTGTCACCCAGGATGGAGTGCAGTGGCACAATCTTGGCTCTTTGTAGCCTTGACCTTCTGAGCTCAAGTGATCCTCCCACCTCAGCCTGCTAGTAGCTGGGACTACAAGTGCACACCACCACACTCAGCTAATTTTTTTGTATATTTTTTTGTGTGTGTGTCTAGATTCCATCTAAATCTAGATGGAATGAGTCACCATGCCTGGCCCTTATAATTTTTAAGAATAAAAACTTATTGTCACCATTAAAGATGCTGGGTGTGGTGGTTCACGCCTGTAATCCCAGCACTTTGGGAGGCTGAAGTGAGTGGACTACCTGAGGTCAGGAGTTCCAGACCAGCCTGGCCAACATGGTAAAACCCCGTTTCTACGGAAAATATAAAAATTAGCTGGGCATGGTGGTGGGCACCTGTAATCTCAGCTACTTGGGAGGCTGAGGCAGGAGAATCGTTTGAACCTGGGACACAGAAGTTGCAGTGAGCTGAGATCCTGCCATTGCACTCCAGCCTGGGTGACAAGAGTGATACTAAAAAAAAGATGCTTTGAGAAAAAAAAAAAATTGTAGGGCTGGACTCAGTGGCTTATGCCTGTAATCCTAGCACTTTGAGAGGCTGAGGTTGGCAGATTACTTGAGCCCAGGAGTTTGAGACCAGTCTGGGCAATGTGGTAAAACGCTGTCTCTACTAAAAATACCAAAAATTAGCTGAGTGTGGTGGCACATGCCTGTAGTCCCAGCTTCTAGGGAGGCTGAGGTGGGAGAATCACTTGAGCTTGGGAAGTCGAGGCTGCAGGGAGTCATGAATGGGCCACTTCACTACAGCCTGGGCAATGGGAGTGAGACCCTGTCTCAAAAAAATAAATAAATAAATAGAAATTTAAAAAATAGAAACAAATTTTTTGAAGAGACAGAGTCTTGCCCTGTTGCCCAGGCTGGAGTGCAGTGGCACAATCACAGCTCACTGCAGCCTTGAACTCCTGGGCTCAAGTGGTCTTCTTGCCTCAGCCTTTGAAGTAGCTTGGATTATAGACGTGAGCCCCTGTGCATGGCCACATTTTAAAAAATAATTCAGTAAAATGGGCCTGACATAAGTGAAAAAGGCAAGGTATAAAAGTCTAGTTTCAGTTTTTCTTATTGAGTTGTAAGAATTCTTTACATATTCTAAATACAAGATCTTTATCAGCTACGTGATTTGCAAATATTTTTTCTCATTGTGTGGGTTATCTTTTCAATTACTTGATAGAGTCCTTTGATTCCACTTCTGTTTTTAAGGTTAATTATTTATTGATTTAAGCCTTTATACCTTGATTAAAAGTGTCACCTCATGAAATTCGGTTGCCTCTTTGGTATGAAATAATGACTTGTGAATTCTAAAATACCTTCAAATATGCACCTGTGTTTTCCTTTGCCCCTTTCCTTAAGTAAAGAAGAAACTGTACCTCAAACAGATATTTTTCCCATAAATAAATAGAAAATAAGTTGATGAATTTACTGTTTTTCCCCTTGCAACAGAATGTATTAGTAAATACTTTATAATGTATTCCAAAAATAAAAGGGATTGTCTTGTCAGTTATATTCCATTACATTCAATACCAGTTGTCTTTCTGATGTGCTGATATTTTACATTTTCCTGAAGAAATAAGGAGGCCATTCTGTTTTGGGGGGGCGGTGGTGGGGAAGTGAAGTCCAAGCAACTTATGCTTCTCTCCCTTCTGGGATTGAGAGTGTGGTAGTGATGAGTTGCTTATGACCAAGATGCACATAGAGACTGTGGTAACAGAAGTGGAAATTGAGGCTACATTGCACTTTTAGGGAAAATGTGTTTTTATGCCATTTTCTTAAGACAACTTTTCGTGGTGGAGGAAAAAAATAGTCATGAAGAAAGGAAGAATTAGATATGTGAAGAAAAAATAATTTAAAAAAGTTAACCTCGTTTGGGTCATACGATAGTTGATGATTTTCCACTGACTTTATCTTTCATCACTGATGATACATTGACCATTGACCTCTATCAATGCTCCTTACCTTTTCTTTTTTTTTGAAGCTTATAGTAGCTGTTGAACAAGAAGAAATTCCCAGACTTCAGGCCCTGTATGAGAGAGGCCTCCAGAATGGTATCCAGGGCCTGAGGCTGATCCAGCAGGAGGATATAAAAAAGAAGGAGCCATATTGTAGGGTAAGTGATTAACTAGCTTCAAAGGGATGTTTTTATTTAGGGCTTAGTCCTGTGACATGGAGGCTGAGGGTGAGTTTATAGGAGGCAGGAATAATGTAAAATCAGTCAGATAATCCTGTCACAGAAGTAGTGAAGTGACAGACACAAGAGGGCATTGCCACAAACTCTGGACACCTGATTTCTTTCTCTGTGAGAAAATACCAGGTGTGAGCAACAGGAACAAAGACAGGAGGAGGGCTGAGACCACATGGCATGTTTGGAAAACACTGAGCAGTGAGGTGTGATTGGGAGCATTGGGTATATAGGGAAAGATAAGAGATGAGACTGAAAAGGCAGGGTTAGGCCCACATAAAGGGCTTGGCATTCATGCTAATAACATTGAAGTTTATCCAGTAGGCATGGGGAGCCATTGAACATTTTTGGAGGAGGGCAGCTGTAGTGTCTGATCTATATCACAGGTGGATAAGGCTGGCATGAGTTTGAAGAGTAGCTTGTAGACTATCTTCCTTAAACTTGCCATAGGGAAAAAAACAGATCTTTATTCATGAAAGAGACAGGAATAGTAATATAACAGTTATTCTGCATGTTAACTTTCACTGATAACCTTTCAGAGACTATTAGTCCAACTTCGCAGTTTCACTGACTGTTCCAATGAATGGCTAATTTTCTCCTGTGGGTAGAAATTTAACTGTTCCAATAGCTGGACTTCCGGAACGTGTCTCAGAGAATGTGACCTTGAACTCGCTATCAGGCAATGCTTTTTAACTTGGTTTAGAGAAACACTATGGGAAATAGGCTGGAAAATGTGTAGACTATTAGACCATTTATTTGTTCATCTACATCTCTCAGAGTGGCATGTCTACACTGCAGTGTTTTGTCTTCCCCATTCTACCCCTTGACCCCAATTACTGTCTTTGAATTGTGCTTTGGTTTTATGGCATCAGCCTATGGAGAAGGTCATTGTGTCAATCACTGTGACCTCCATTGTGAGGATGTGATTGAGGACATAAGTTATTCACTCTGTTACACAACATCTTGCTCTGAGAACCTGCAGGAGACATTTCTCTCAGATCTTAGTTCTGAGAATAATTTTATTCTTTCTGACCACAGTTGGCTTGTTTTTATCTTATGGACATTGAGTGATTTAACTGATTGCATTGCCCTGTGTACTTTGGCTGCAAGGAAGCTCAGAGACACATTTGTGCCCTACTCCTGCCAGATATCTAGGGCCTTAAACATACATTTTTATTTTTGTATACTAACTTCCCTCTTCATTTCATCTTACCTTTCCACCCTCCTTTTCTGTCTACCCTAATTTCTTGGAACCATAACATACAATGGAAATTATAAATGGATAGCTTAGTGAATTTTCACAAAGTGTGACCAGCACCCAGGACAACAAACAAATGTTACCAACCTCCCAGTACTCCCCTCATGTCCTTCCACTAGGACGTTTCCCCTAAGAGTAAACACTGTCCTGACTTCTTACATCATAGGTGGTTGAATTTTAGGTAAGTAGAATGATATAATATGTGTTCTTTTGTATCTGAACTTTTTTTTTTTTTTTTAAGACAGGGTTTTGCTGTGTTGCCCGGGCTGGAATGCAGTGGCACAGCATTATTATAGCTCACGGTAACTTTGAACTCCTGAGCTCAAATAATCCTCCCACTTCAGCCTCCCGAGTAACTGGGACAACAGGTGTGTGCTACCACATCCAGCTAATTGTTTTTTAAAAAAACTTTTTAATTAAATTTTTTGTTAACCCAGGCTGGTCTTGAATTCCTGGGCTCAAGAGATCTACCCATCTTGGCCTCCCAAAGTGCTAGGATTACAGTTGTCAGCCATCATGCCCAGCTGTGTCTGGGCTTCTTAAGTTCAATATTGTTTATTAAATTCATCCATATTGTTACATATATTTGTAGTTTGTTTGTTGTCCTTGCTGTATACCGCTATGAATGTAGCATGGTTCATTCTACTGTTGATGGGCATTTGGACAGTTTCCAATTTGGGACTCTTCCAAAAATTGCTGCTATGAAAATTCTAGTACATATGTTTTAGTGAGCACACGTACACGTTTTTATTGGGTATATACCTATGAAGGAACTTGCTAGTTTGCAGTTTATGGATATGTTTAGCTTTGGCAGGTATTCCAGAGTTTTCCAAAGTGTTTGTCCCAATTTATACTCTCATGACCATTCCAGTGCTCCATGTCCTCAACCAACACTTGGTATTGCTTATTGATTTTATTTTAGCCATTCTGGTGGGTATGTAGTAGTATCATATTATGATTTTAATTTATATTTCCCTGTGGATTCACACATTTATGCACCTTTATATGTATTTATTGACCATTTGGATATTTTATTTTGTGAAGTACCTGTTTGAGTCTTTTACCCACTTTTCTATTGGGTTGACCGTCTTTCTTATAATTATTAATTATTCATTTTAGGACATATGTAGTCTGGATATGAGTCTTTTGTTGGATATATATATGCATACACACACACACACACACACAAACTGCATATCACAAATATCTCCTACTACTCTGTAGCATGTCATTTTATTTTATTTTATTTTTTTGGAGAAACAGGGGGTCACTCTGTCATCCAGGCTGGAGTGCAGTGGTGTGATCACAGCTCACTGCAATCTTGAACTCCTGGGCTCAAGCAATCTTCCTGCCTCAGCCTCCTGAGCAGTTAGGACTACAGGTGTGTGCCACCACACCCAGCTAATTTTGTATTTTTGTATTTTTGCAGAGATGGGGTCTTGCTATGTTGCCTAGGCTGGTCTCAAACTCTAGGGCTCAGGTGATCCTCCTGCCTTGACCTCCCACAGTGCTGGGATTGCAGCGTTTCACTTTCCTAATATTGTCTTCAGATTAATAGAAATTCTTAATCTTAATGTTACCAATTTATGCCTATGTTTGTTTTTTATGGTTAGTGTTTTTTGCGTTTTAGTTAAATTTTCTGGATGCATTCAAAGACTTTGTAAGAGAAATAAAATAAAATAGAAAAAAAGAGAAATATTAGCCTAGCCCAAGGTCTAGAAGATATTCTATGTGTTTCTCTAAAAGTTTTATTGTTTTACGTTTCACATTTAGATCTGCAGTCCATTTGGAATTGATTTTTATATATGGTATAAGTTAGGGGTCAAGGTATATTTTTTCCCCAAACGGATACCCAGTTGAGTCAGCATCACTTATCAAAAAACCATTATTTTCCCACTGTGCTGCAGTATTGCCTTTATGATATCAGATATGTGGCGGGTCTATGTCTGGACTCCATTCTGTTCCATTGCCTCTTCTGTGCTACTACCATAATGTTTAATTATAATAGCCATTTTTTTTTAATGGGGTTTCACTCTGTCACCCAGGCTGGAGTGCAGTGATGTGATCACAGCTCACCATGGCCAGCTAATTTTAAAATGTTTTGTAGAGACAGAGTCTCACCATATTTCCTAGGCTGGTCTCGAACTCCTGGGCTCAAGTGATCCACCTGCCTCGGCCTCCCAAACTGCTAGGAATACAAGCATGAGCTATAGTAGCTTGGCCTATAGTAGCTTTTTTTTTTTTTTTTGAGACGGAGTCTCTCTTTGTCACCCAGGCTGGAGTGCAGTGCCACCATCTCAGCTTACTGCAACCTCCATCTCCTGGGTTCAAGCAATTCTCCTGTCTCAGCCTCTCCAGTAGCTGGGATTACAAGCACCCGCCAACATGCCTGGCTAACTTTTGTATTTTTATTTATTTATTTATTTATTTATTTATTTATTTATTTATTTATTTTGAGACGGAGTTTCACTCTTGTTGCCCAGGATGGAGTGCAATGGCGCAATCTCAGCTCACCGCAACCTCTGCCTCCTGGGTTCAAGTGATTCTCCTGCTTCAGCCTCCCGAGTAGCTGGGATTACAGACATGCACCACCAGGCCCAGCTAATTTTGTATTTTTAGTATAGATGGAGTTTCTCCGTGTTGGTCAGGCTGGTCTCGAAAACTCCCGACCTCAGATGATCCTCCAGCCTTGGCCTCCCAAAGTTCTGGGATTACAGGTATGAGCGTCTGGCCCTATAGTAGCTTTTTAATGGGCCTGAATATCTGGTAGAGTAAGGCCTTCAGTTTTTTTCTTCAACGTTGTCTTGGCTTTTCTTGGATCTTTACATTTCTACATGAATTTTGGAGTTAATTTGCTAAACTCCACAATATAACCTGTTATGATTTTGATTAAGGTTGCACTGAATCTGTATGTCTATGTGGAGACAATTTACATCTTTGTAGTATGGAGTCTTCCAATCCTTGAACTTCATATATCCCTCCTTTTGTCTGGATCTGTTTTGATTTATTATATAATGTATTATGATTTTCAGGATATAAGTCTTGCATGGCATGTCTCTTACATTTATGCCTACAAATAATTTGTATTTGATGTTTTCTGATACTCATTAATAGTATTGTTATTTAAAGTTCATTTTTTATTTGTTTGTTGCAGGTATATGTGGAAATATAATTGATTTCTGACCTTGTATTCAACTTTCTAGTTAAATTTACTTATTGGTTCTAAATAATTTGTCTAGAAATTCTTTTGGATTTTTTATACCCAAACATTTTATCTCAAATAATAACTATTTTATTTCTTCTTTTCTAATTCATATACTTGGTTGATCCAATGGTTAATCCTAGTTTGTATAGTTTTATATGTGTTTTTTTTTATTTTTATAAACTGCTTCATCCTTTCTGCAAAAAGATAAGATAGAAATGTATTTTTCAAGTTCAGGACAAATAAAAGCTTAAAGGAAAAAAAATGTATTTTTTCTCTTTATCTCTGGTTGTAAAGTTAAAGTTGGGTCAAAATATGCAAGATTTTCTGAATTCATGTAAAACTCCTAAGACGCTGATAGTACCCAGGAGTCTAAATAATGTTGAATGAGTTCTTCCTGCAGAGAAAGTTATAGCATCTTGGTCTCCAGCAAGCCACTATTCCTTTCCTGGCACCCAGTCAGGATAA